ATTCTGAAAGCTCTCATTTTTCTGGAAATTTTGACACCAAGATCATCTTTCTATGACAAACCGTTGAGAAGTTATGCTAATTTAAAGGTTTTGACTTTGACCCCCTCTCCCCCCTTTTCCCTGGGGGTTAGGCAAAAAATATGACCAGTTTTGAGTGTCTGGGAAGACCCTCTATCATTCCTGAGAAAATCGTACGATTCCGTGTTTAGGCCGATTTGGCAGTTTTGTTGTAGGGTCCTTTCAATTTGAAGCTCAGGTGCTCGTGCATAGTTCATGGAAATTTTAAAATTCTTTACAACTTCCTCAAAATTCAATCCTGCTCTTACTTCTCTAAGTCTTTAAGCTACTGTAAAGTTTTAACCAACTTACCAAGTGGGAAAATTTGGGTAGCATAATGAAAATTTGAGACAGAAATCCCTGAGAATTTATGTCAATATCTAACTTTTAATCACACTTTGAAATTACCAACATTTGTATTACTTCAAGCTCACATATAGGTACATGGCTTAAAGCAACAGACAGGCACTAGTGGATGTAAAAATTACTTATTTTTTCACAAAATCCGCGTTAAAAATTACAAGAATGAAAAATACAGCAAGGCAAATACAGGATTGCCGTGATCTCTTACTTTTCAAATTCTCTTGTTATTTCCCTGATTTCTTTTGCTTTTCCCTGACAAACGAAAAAAACTTCCACTTTAATTTATTTCCCCTTGAATTACACTAACTTCTGCTATGCGCTAACACATTAAACTCCCTGACTTTTCGTGTGAATTCCCTGTCTTTCATTTTTTGCAAGACCCCCGACATCCCTGCGAATACCACATTTTTTTAATGCAGAATAACAGCACTTGGAAGGTACATGGAGAGCAAATAAATAAGTCATCATTTGAAGCTCTTAATTGAAGAAAAAAAGATTTGAAAAATGGAAAGGCTAAGAACTCTTCGAGTCCCTGCTTCATTGAGCGTCTCTCTAGTCTGTTCGTATTGAATACGTTAGCTCTAAATAAGGGTAGAGTGTTATTTTTTGTTTTGTTGCATTTGCTGACAAAATGTTTAAGTTAGTCAAGTGCTAAAGAGGAAGTGTCATTCCATTATTAGAACCGTAACAAGAGATTCAGCTTTAAACATTGATTGGCGAGAATTAAGTAAAAAATGAGAGGAAAGTACGGGTCTCCAAGCGTGGCACAACTGGTAATAGACAAGAACTTACCTTCTTAATTACATCTATGACTGGAGCTTTGTCTCTCCTGTTGGCGAATTGATGCCTTGTGCTTTCTGGAACCAGAGACCATAACATATCTACGTTCACTGTTGGGCAGAATGTTTTGTTCCTCTTCAGATGGAAGTTCCGCATACCCAACTGTAATAAAAGAAGATATTTGAATGAGAAAATGCTACAGATTTGGGTTCTTGCCTACCCGAGGGTGCAGTAATTATTTGACGGTGCACACAAAAATGGGAGTCGAAGAAGGGCTTTAAAAATGGGTAAGGAGATTCATGCCAGCGTGATGATTACAAGCAATTTGCCAAAACTCGGACATATTGAGGCAAAAATGAACGACTGTTACTCTGTTGAAAAAGTTGGGAACTTCATATAGAAGGGCCAATTGAGAAATGGGGAGGGCTAAAACTCTTTACACATCCGTGCTTGTTTGGTAAGTGCTTGCCTTATGAACACCATGCAGGATGAAGATAAATGATGTAATTAAAAACATGTGTGTTCTTCCGAGTGATTTTTCTTCCGCAGGCAGTCCAAAGTGGATTCAGTGGAACGCAACTATGATTTGGGCTTTGATTGACAACCACTTGGAAGAGGGATCTGGCGTTCAATTGGACTGCGCTCGAGGACGAACATAAAAATAACTACACAATGGATTGTGGTCCACTATAGTTCAGGTAGAAAAAACTCTACGGTGACCTCTACAGTATAACCGAATGTGAAAAGTAATTGATTAATATGAATAAAATGGGAAAGGCTAGAAAACTGGTCCCACTATTGCAAAGCAGTTTCTAATTTTTCTTGTTGAATTCAGAAGTTAACTGCAGATAATTTAAGTATGTTGAGATAGAAAATGATTCCTTTGTGGTTTCTAAATTTTTCCTCTTCAGTCTTATAGTTTTTCTTCATCTCCTACAGGAAGTGTGAAAGTTGAGACTTTCGAACTAGTGAAGGTCGTGTTTCAAAACACACGTTCCTGTAAGACAGAATTGATTTGAGGACCTAACAAAGTCAGAACTAGAGTAACTAAGAAGGAAGAGTACAGACATGTCTGTAATTTTTGAAGTTTACAAGATGGAGCTCTTGAGGTCCAAAAAGGCAGCCAATCTATGAATTCATATTATCCAGAATGATTTGTTATTACAATTGTTACGATCTGCCGTTAGCAAATAAAATATTTGACCTAGTTTTGGCATAAAATAACTCATATTTGCGGAATGGCGCTTATTCAAAGACATTCTCAGCCACTTGCATTTGATATTGGAATTTGAAGATTGGAAGTGACATTTATTGTTTTCAAAGTTTGGGTATTCTTTTAGGCCCTTGGAGCTCCATATTTCAACATGGCAGTAATCTCCTCGTATAGGTTGTAGTCAAAACTAAATTCAATCATCTTACATTGAGACTTAAGTTAAGTCTCTTTCATGTCACCACTCAGGCGATGACCTCATCTGGTAAGTAATGATCTACTGGGTAGTGCTGGAGCAGAACGAGTCAGGGCTGAATTGTGCCTCGAAATGAGACGAGTGAGCTTTGGCTTAAACAAAGGTTTCACACTCTCTGCACATGGGCTGATCCTGCTGTGTCATGAATACTTAACCTAATTATAAGCATGGTACTTACTTTTCCGAAGTATCCAGGATGGTATTTGTCGAAGTTGATTCTGTGGTGGTGCATACCACCAGCATTACCACGACCTCCAGGATGTTTCCTGTGTTTACCTGAAAATAACAATCCAACATCAGACTTGCCATTTATTTGAAAAGTTAATTCAAGAAACACTAGATCATACAATGATAATGAATTTATTTAAGAATTGCCTTCTCCTAAAAGCACCTGCTTAAGAATGGTCTGCAGGGGCCACTTCTAAAAAAGCTTCTACTACCTGCTTACTACCGCCATGCTGCCGTTGTTGACATCACGATTTCTCGTTTGAGGTAAAGTAAATTCTGTGTGAAAGTTTCATATCCTACAAACATCTGTATCGCATTCTGAATGAAGAGCTTAGAGAATTAAGAACAATGGGTGTGAATCTTAAACAAAGTAACCTACACAACCTCCAATTGGCCAACAAAATCATACCGCCAACGCGACGCCGCCGTGTATTCTTCCACTACGTATTCCGCCGCCACATTGATCGTGACAAGTGCATTCGAAACCTACAAGCGTGTGGTTCAAACGCCACTTAAGGCCACCCTAATTTTCGGCAATTTCAAAAAGACTTTTCTCCCATTTGCAGTCATCGAAAAAAATTAAGAAAAAAACTGTAAGCTTCGGTCATTTACTACTTTCAAAGGACTAAATAAAAAAAATGACTTAACTGACTCATTAACAGCAATTGATAGGTAACATGAGCTTTCTCCATCTACTTCAGAGAGGTGAGAACCTTTGGTCTCTTTGTTTGATAAAATTTCATTAATTGCAACTTCAGCTGATTCCAAAATTCGTGGAATCGTTCAACTAGATGCGAATTAATTTTATATGAATACCCAAGCCTAGATAAAACATAGGAAGTTGAGACCAATTCAATGGTGATTGACATGTATGTGTTTTAAGCGCGTGGTCACAGTAAGAAAAATTTGCAAGAAGTTGATACTGACCAAAATAAACAGAGCAAAATGATCCGTAAACTAAAATTATTGCACACAAGGAGTACTTACCAATACGACCGTGTCCATGACTCACGTGTCCCCTAAGTTTACGTGTTTTACGGGTTCCGGTTGGCTGAAAGTGAGGAAACGATCATGAGAATTTGACATTGACTGACTAAACTTCACATATGCTGCGAAGCAACTTTCAGCAAAGGGACTTTAAAACCATTAATATGCTGTTAGGGTTGAATGTGTGCTGACAGCAAAACATTTCTCGGACCAATTGAGCACAGAGCTCCAGATTTTCATGCGTATCACTACTAAATAAGCGTATGTCTTAGGTGTTGCCTAGCAAAATCCCTCCTTCTTGTTCTTGACTAAAAGAACTTAAACTCTATAGAGAGAGACATGAAAGAGCAGATCGGCTAATCAAAGCTCATGTGTTGGACGGTTAGCTGTCATCATAGACAAAGTCTTGGAGAGCTTGTCTGATAGAACTTTATCAACATACGGTATGAAACCATATCAGAAATAGACGGGCTAGGGGGAATAATGTAAATTTATGGATATTCGCTAATGGACATCATGATTCAGACCGCAAGGGCTAGCTGCCCAGAATAAACATTGAGTTGGCCTTTGAGGAAAATTGAGTACACGTAGGATCGGCGAATTCTCCTCCCGTGTTTCGAAGGAAATCGGCTGTTGGGAGTATGGCGAATGTGAAAAGCCGTCCGAAAAGACACGGAATTGTGATATAGATGCGATTAAATTGGATAAAAAAGTAATTTTACTCACCATTTTGGAGGCAGTTTACGGAATTACAAATGGAACACGCAAGATTTTCAGGCCACCCGCTTCAACACTGACGAATATCATCAACCACCATCAGGCTGCACCAGCGGCAACATTGTTGTGTTAGATTGTAGGTTATGTGTGTCCATCTTCCTAATTTCGTATTTCGTAGACAGTGTGGGAGTGAGTGGTGAGGAATAGGACTTGTTCCATATTTAAGGAAGTTCCTATTCATGCGTGGTTCACCAAGATGTCAAAAGTTTTACAGTTAGCCAGTGCTTTTAGTCGTTTAAGCTGTTCGGGATCATGCTCAGCTTTAAGAGCGCCTCAAACTCCGGCTCTAACGCCGTCACGATACGTTAACTTCTTCAGCAAACACAGCGCTGAGGATATTTGGAAAGGAATTACAAGTGTCAGTCCTCAGGGCCGAAAAAGAGGTCGTGCCAAAGGTCTGAGGAAATTAATCAGGAATTTAAATAAAGGTCAAGTCATTGGTGTTGGCCGAGCAAATATCGTGTTTCCAGGATTGTCCTCAAACATCATCCAAGGTAAAGAGATAGTGCGACAGCACCAACTTCCCAAGGATCCTGACTTTGATGCTAAGCTGGCCAAAATCAGAGATACACAATCTTCTTCATTAAAGTCCAATAAACTCACCCCACTTGAGAGAGGATACACTGGGAGCAAAATGCCAGGGCGTAGTATTGGTCCGCCAGATCCAATTGGAGAACAAGAATTTGAAGGATTTGATGTCAAAGTTGTAGAGCTCAAGCCTGTAAGTCATATGCGAGCAACTGTTGGAAGATTCCGGCGAGTAAGCGTGACCACTGTATGTGGAAATAGAAATGGTGTGGCCGGCTTTGCCCATGGAAAAGCTGTTGATGGAAAGACTGCTATGCGCAAAGCAAAAAATCGCTCTGGTCAAAGGTAATATACCGTTTTTTGTTCGTAGACTTTAGAGCAATATACAGCGGAAAAAAAGGTACATACTTTGCTCTACACTTATAATACAAGTTTGTGGTACCTTTGTTTCTCCATCGAACTAATTATAATGTATCTAATGTACAGCCCTGAAGAAAGTTTGCACTTCATTTGACTCTTCACAGTCCCACCATCAAGATAACTAGGCAAAATGCCTCTATTACAGAAAAATCTCAGTCACGAACAGTCAAATTAGAGGTCAGGAAAGAGAGAACATTGGCTGGATTTGCTACTGTTTTAATGCTTTAACCGTAGTAGCTTTTCTTTTATGGAGAGTTTGACAAATTCATTACAACATGCGTTTAGAAATGTAAATTTTCTACTTTCCCTGGGCGTCAAATGTACCTGTAAATCGGTCTTTGGTGCCTGATCATTTGGGGGCTGGACTGTCATGGCACCTAAGGCCTTGTCTCCATGAGCTGTTTCACGAGATTTGTCCCAGGGAAAAATCCCACTTACGAAGTTGGGGAAAATATTGAGTTAATCAATATTTTTCCCAGTACCAAGTATGGTACTTGTACCCCTAGGATTCACTGAGAGAAGAAGAAGAAGAAGTGTAAATGAACTGTGCGATATTTTATTCATTACTACATTGTTAATGTTTGTTTAGTTAAAAAATGTGTCTAATTGTCAATTGAGTGCAATTATTATTTTAATCCCGGTTAAATACTCGACTTTAACTAATTTATCTTCCCGCGCAGACTAGTCGCAGGACTGTGTGAGCCCCGTCCCGTGGAGACGGTAACTGGGAAAAATCCCAGAAGTTTCATTCCTGCGATTCGAACTTGGGACAAATCCCATGAAAACAAGTTCAGTGGCGTAGGAAGGGGGGGGCCAGGGGGGGCTGGCCCCCCCAAAATTGGAAATAGTATCATCTGGCCCCCCCCAGAAATTCTGGATGGTGCAAAAACACCAATGATTCTGGCATTCACTAAACATTTATTTCGCAATTTTCACACAAATGAGTGGTTAAAAGTGAGAAAATAAATGGAATAACCTGTTGAATGCAACAATTTCAAAGTATTTTAACCTTAAAATGCATAAAACTGGGTGAATTTTATGCAGAAATTGAAGGAAGATTAACGCCACAAGTGCCTCGAGATGCGCTCAAATAGAGTTAAAATTTCAAAAATTTTCCGGGGGAGGCCCCCCGGACCCCCCCCTGACCTGGGGGGTATTCCATACCCCCCAGACCCCCCGGTGGTGGGGGGCCAGGCCCCCCCCAGCAAAATGGCCTAGCTACGCCTATGAACAAGTTACTTAGGCCTTGTCTCCCATGGAGACAAGGCCACATTTGTGGCACAGCGCCATTTTTCACACACCATGATGCGCTTGCAAAAATTGTAGTTGGCACCTTAAAATTGAGCTACCCAGCCAAGGTGGCTACTATAATTTTAAGGGGAAGGCAGAACTTGTTTGATATCAGCTCTTAATCTCATTTAAGGCATTATCTATGCTGCCTTGTAATTGGTGGGTATGTGGACCTTTCTCTCCTCCTCTGTTCATTGTTTATCTGTGACTATACAGAGCAACTGGGGAAGAGATAATCTTACTCTGTAGTATAAAATCATAAGGGTTCCTAGTCACGCTTAACATGTCACAAACCGGTTTCTCCTCCACTCCCTGCTCCCCTCCCGCTGCGCATGCACACATACTTTCCGCCGTCTCCAAACCGGGTTTTCCCTATTCACTCTTAATGACCTTTGAAATCCACACATTGGAGACGCGAAGCGTCTCCGGGGGGTCGGGTTGCGGAGCGGCTAGGAGACGCATTCCCCTAGTACTGTATAAAACAACTATACAAAGGGATTGATTGACATAAGGGATGAAGAGATAGTGGAAATTCTTGATAGAAAAATGAAAGTGAAGTGCAACGAAAGGGGGAAAGTGGATAAAATGTTTCTTAAGCTTTTGAGAGATGATACTCTACTTGGTTGTGAGAAATGGAAGGACTTACAACTAAATTCATATAGGGACAGGCTATGAAATGAATTGTTGAAATTCCAAAGAGAAAACTGAGGGGATCCTACTTAGTTGTTACAGGCGGAAGGAGTTTGGTCTGTAGAGTTTATACATCGAGTTTGTCATTATCAGGGACTGTTTTGTAGGGGTTTTTTGTCTAGGAACAGGCTTCTGAGATGCTGTCAAGACAGATGGGATTAGCCCTTGTAGGCTACTTGAAGAGAAACGAATGAGAGAGAGAGAGCGAATAAAAAAAGCTACGAGTAAAATATGATACGAGAAAAAATTTCTACTGTTGAGTTGGTATAATTTTTCTCCTTCTGCTCACAGTTTGAAGATTATGCTAAAGTATCTGCAGGAGGCAGACGCTTCATATGTCAAAAATTTATTTTTATTTTTCAGAGAATGTCTCCTGTAATATATATACTTTATATTTACTGTATTACACCTCTAGCTGAAAGCTCAAAAAACTTTCTTTCTATCAATATGGTTTTATTTTTGCAGGTTGATGTTCATTGAACGTTACAATGACCACACGATTTGTCATGACTTCTATTCTCAATTTGGCCGTACAAAAATTTTTGCATGGAAGCGCCCCGAAGGCTATGGTTTATTAAAGTGTCACCGCGTCATCAGAACAATTTGCGAACTGGTAGGAATCAAAGATATGGAAGCCAAAGTTGAAAATGCAACCAACAATCCAAGTGCTGTGGTGAAAGCTTTCTTCCTTGGTTTACTTCGGCAACGAACGCCTCAGCAGTTATCTGATGAAGTTAAACTTCACCTAGTAGAGTTTCGCAAAGAAAACGATTACTGTCCCCGTATAGTTGCTTCTCCAACAGAGGGTTGTGACGAGTCCAAGTCAGAAAAAGACATCCCCGACTATGATAACTACATTTGGGAAGGCCGTGTCGTATTAAGACGGAAGAAATTCCCACCTTTCTTTGCTAACACTCAAGGTTACAACCAGTATCTTAGAGTCCAAGAGCGAAAAAGAGGTATGGATGCTGTAAAACGCACTTTGAGGAATGAATATGGTGAGCTTCGCAGTTTCTTGGCTGAGAAATACCCAGAATGTCGGCCTCCTAATCAGATAGTTAATCGGATGAAAGCTGCAGAAAAACCTGCTGAAAGTTAATTATGTCAATCATTTGAAAATCGAAGGTCCTCAAACTAAGAGCTTGCTGTAGTGCAATTCTCTGCTCCAGTTTAGCCCTCTCTCGATTTATTTTGCCACAACTTTCAGGTATCAGTGAGTAAAATCCCAATATCATACCTATACATTGATCGGCAAGATTTAAAACAAATGTAAATAACAGTAATGAAAGAGAGAATGAACGAACAGCATTTAGCAAAAAATGATCACGCTATATATTGACAAGAAACCTGGTAATCACCTACTTCCATTTAAAGGGATAGTGCCGAGACCAAGGTGTGCTTCTGCTATTCTCTCCTTATGTGTATTTTGTAAATATTCGCTTCATGAAGCAGCTGGACTTACGTGAGTATGTATTAGACAAAATGTTACTTGTCAAGGTCAAGGATCATTTTAATTTATACAGGGCGATTCAAAAACTCCGCACTCCCCCCTTAATCCTTGGGGTTCTTGCCCCTTTTTGGAATCCCCTCAAATCTGTAGGGGGTCCTGAAAGTCATTTTCCTTGATGTTGGAGTACTCACAAAATTTCGAGTCTCAGTCTCAAGTTGTCGAAAACTTACATGGTGATGCTCAATACTGGTGGCGTGGTACTTCTGGATCGCCCAGTAGATAAGTCCGTAGTAAAGAAAAGAAGTGAACAGATTGGTGGTTAGCATCAAATTACTTGACAGATGTTTCAAATGCAATGAGCTTTGTGGAATCTTGGTATCGTATTTTATTCATATGACGATAGCAAATCTTTTTCAACCTCCGGAAGTTTTTCAATCTACTTGCCAATAGCTATTAGAAATTCCTAATTACCTCCTCAGGATAATTGCCACCATAATTTGTCTTGAAGAGTCTCTTAGTCATTATAATAAAGCTGCTTCTGATTTGTTATTTTTGTTGCAACATAAATAAGTGAAGTTTTCTTTCAATAAAATTTTGTACTGTTTTCAAGTTAAGTTAGTGTGCATTTTTATTCGCATTGTTTTTTCAACAACATTTTTAAAAGTCTTGAGTCAGTGAGTGTAAGTACCTGCCAGAAGTTCTTAGGAATGATGCGATTTGGACTTAATCAAGGAGAAAGGAACCATCTCACGTTTTCAATCAATTAAGACAACAGAGAAATTCTCAAAAGGTCTCAGTTGTCCCTCAAAACATCGTTGCAGACTTTCAATCATACTTTTTTTTAAAATCTGAAGCTACTCAACGGCAGGTCTTAAAAACTGCAAAGATTTTTTTTTCTCTGTGGGATGAAAATTCTGTGAAAACTTCAATGAATGATGTGGATTTTTTCTCTTTAAAAAAAGAAAAGAAATAGAAGCGGAGACTTCAAATTACCCCAAACAAAATATGTATGTAGTTTGGGAGTTTCACAGTCAAAGAGCTGTTTTCAGTGAAACTGCGTCAATTTATTTTCAAGAAAGTCAACACTGAACTTTGTCACTTCAAGTTAAACATTGCAACTGATACGAAGTCTTATAAAAAGTAAAACTTGAGAACTCATATTCTCGATATGGATCAAAATCTCAAAGTGAGATTGTTCTTTTTTGTGAAACCTGATTCATTCTTAAATCAATTCATGCACTACTTTTTTATACGAGCATTATTAAAACGGTTTTGCAAAAATAGCAAGCAATCCTGTAACTTTTGCTCTAAGTTTGACAATTAATGCAAGTATTTAATTTCAATTTAAAATGGTTCTGAGCAGTTCCTTTGTAAATTTGTAAGGACAGATGTCTTAAAAATTAATTCACAATTAAAAGTTAAGGTCTTCTATCACACGCTGAATCAAATGTTCTATCATGCCACTCTCAGGCTCTATTTCTCATTGTAGAAGACAGTAGTTAGAGTTTGGCAATGGAGATGTAAATAATTTAGTCCAAAATTCTGTAACAAGATTTTACTGAGGAAAAAATATGGCTCACATTTTTGAAAGCTGACAAATTTTGCGTCAACGAAGTTTGGATGTGTGCAAAAATTATTAAAGTAAAAGAATGATGTCCGCATGATTGTTCTGGCTTTTCAAAAACCTTCGACCATTTCAAATGTTTTCTCTTTCAAAAACAATTCTGCCCTAATTTTACTGGAATATGCGGGTCGTTACCTAAAAGCTGAATTAATTACGCTCTGCCAGAATTCATCTGTAGGAGGGGAACAAAAAACTGTTTAAGAACCTTCAGCAGCCAACTAGTCTTTGATTTTGTCATAGAGTACATAGAGTCGTAATGTAAGTGGGAGAACTGGCGCCACTTTTAAGCATTTTCCATGTCCCTAATTCCGAGACTCCTGTGTGACGCCGGGTCACTTTTTCGATACATAATCGATTGTTTGCGACACACGGGTACCCGGCCATCCGATGACAACAACAACAACAACAGAGGAGATGGGGATTACCACGTATTCCACACCGCCATTTTGGATCGAAAATGTATCGAAAAAGCGACCCGAACTCGGCGCACACCGGGCTCGGAATTCGTCGAGCAGAACATGGCGCCAGCTCTCCCATTTACATTACGACTCTATGTACTCTATGGATACTGTCTACTGGCTTAAGTATTACTGGTAAGAACAATGCGATTGATCTCAGAGACAATTGGACTACATTTCGCAATTAGGAAGTAAAATTCCTGACTCATTTCAGAGACAACATACGAGTCATTAGTTTCCCTATGCATATAAGTTTTTGTACAGAAGAGCCAGAAATTGTAGTTCCTCACTGCTAAATACAGTCCAATGAGACAGATTAAACTGGAATCGGCCAATCTATATCAGGCTTTGCTTGGTTTCCTCTCTTCTTTAAAAATGAAGTAGTTTAAGGCAGCTAGAACTCAGTTCACTTAATTTTAAAATTCAACACACAAAAAAGGCAGACATTCAAAAGCCTACAGGCCAAGCTCATTATAATCAACAACGGATTCAAGAGCTCATCAATTTTTTGAACTATCTTATTTGCAAGTCTCGAACTGAATCATTACTCAAGATTTCAGTACGGTTAATGTTTCTCGTTTCCTTTGGGAGAAAATACTTCTCACTTAAATGCATATAAGTCAGAAAACAACTAGTCTTAACCCACAAGTATCAACAACTTAAATCCTCAAGTAGGTAACAAATAAAACTCTCTAAAATTCTAAAACAACAGAAAAATAAATCATATCAAAATTCATGCAAACAAATAAATGTACCCTTACAACTGCGTGAGCATGGAAGGTTAATAAATAATATCACATTAGTGGCTAATGTATTCAAATACGTTTCAATTTGTATACTTAGCATCAATTTTAACTCAGTGAATGAAGAAATTCATGCCAGGGTGTTAGAAATTGGATTTTTTTTTATTAAATAGAGTCCAAGCCAAGTAAGTTCAAAGAGTTTTAGACTGCATCAAGGTACCAAGTGACATCAGTTTAGCATTGAGAGCAGATGCAAGAATGAAGATGGTGGATCTTCAGTTTCAGTCTAAAAATTTGTACAACTATATGGCATGGACTCGGCAAATTCTTTCACTTAGATACTGTGTCTAGGCATCAATTTTTTCATTTATCTTAAATGTACAGTGTTTTACAACAACACTTGAGAAAATGTCGAAGGGAATTTCCCTTCAGGGCGCTTCAGAAACTTCCATCCGCAAGAACTTCAAATCATTCTTTGTGCTACCGATCGCAGGATGGCAATCCTTCAAGTACCAGTGAAGCTAAAGCTTTATCTTTGTGGTTATCTGGCAACAGGCTTATGACTGTCCTTAGGAGTTGCCCGATATCTGGTGTATTGGACGGCTGCATAGTTTCATTTTCTTCCTGCAAAAACAAAACCAATCCAAGGGTAAGAAAGGGTTTCTGTAATTTTGTAATCCTTAAATTCCCAGACTTTCCATGACCTACGAAAAAAATTTTCACCTTGATTTTTTTTAAAATTGCGTTGCTGAGCTAGCAGGCCGTAAATTTCCTGACTTTCCAGGTTTTCCAGACCGCAGAGATCCTGCGAAGACCATGATCTTAGAGTCTGAATTTGTAAGCTAGAGCTGTTAAATAAAGTCTGTTTTTTGTCAGGAGCTAAGTTGAGGGGAGGATGGGTTAGGAACTACTCGAGGGTCTCAAGGTAAGCAAACTTTGGGGAAATATTCTCATACCTCACATTGTAAAAACCGACAAAATATGCAGATATTTTTAATTACTAAAGACGGAAGGGGTACCGAGCAAAAGAGCATCTTAAGATGGTTCTCAACTGCCCAGGAAAAATTGTCAAGCATGGGGGGGGGGGGGGGGGGGGGGGGTGTTGGTGGCAAAAAATGATTACGTTGACACAAAGTGGAAAGATATTTTTTTTTAAACTTAAAAGGAGTTGATTAATTCCTTGACATTGCTCTTCTCTGAAAAATCAATCCTCTAAGTAGAAAAAAATTCTGATATAATACAGTAAAAGCTTGTTAAGACGAAACATGAAAGGACCAGAGAAAATTTTGAGTTGAGCGAATTTTCGCCTTGACCGTAATTCCACCTAACAAGCTTTTACTGTATTTGCAGAAAGAATATAGAGATTAAAGATGGGCCAAGGGACTTGGAAGACAAGGCGCATAAGTGCAGTTTTTGCTATTTCGAGAAATAAATGTTTGAAGCTTCAAAATTACATGGATCCTTATGGCCGAAAGAAACTTCAAACTGACTTCTTGATGCTTAAAAATTGGAATTTGGGAGGGAATTTTTCACAGAATATGCACTAAGAATAGTTTTACTTCAAATCAATAACATCTCAATTTTTTGAAAAACTGCTCTTATCCGCCATGTCCTCCAAGCCCCTCAACTGATATACTTGGACAATGATCATTTCAGATTTCCAGCCTCAAGAGGGGAGGGATCGCATTTTTCATCTTGAAAATTTTATTTGGTGATCATGATATGCATGCTTTTGATGAGAAGGAAATTTTGTAACTTAAGAAACCTAAAAATTAGGCAATGATGGGTGAGACTGTCTCACAGTTTTACTTTCCGAAATAAACATAAACAATTGAGAATGATTTAAATTCGTACCAAAGAGGCTAGCCATGATGTCACGGCAGGACTTAGATTTGATGTGGTTTCTCGGAACTGATGAGATTGAATGATGAATTGTTTAATGCGCTGTCCGGCTATGATCAGCAACTGCGTACCCATTTCATCTTGATCCCTCACTGCAGGAATAATCTTTAAAGAAAACAATCGAACAAAAAGCAACAATATGAGTTTCAAAGTAAAAAAATAATCATAAAAGCTATGAGTTTCCATGCAATTTTTCAACTTTCAGGACACTTTTCATAAAATCCTAAAGACTTCTCTTTAAATCACTAACAACTTTCTCATCCACAATATTATTCAATTGTGAGGAGATACATTTTAAAAATGAATACCTTAGGTGGTTATTTATCTTTTTCCTAGCCTCAGAGTTACTTCATTGCACACAACCTTCAACTATAAACAAGAATAATTTCAGATGCCTTAATCACATCGAAGTATCATAGAAATAAAAAATTTTAAAATAAAGAATGGGTGTTCTTTCTATGCAATCACAGTATTTGCTTGCACGATACATTAATCAATGCAGCCATGCTTCCGGCTGGCAAAAATCTTCATTTCTGCTTTCACTTAACTTAGAATTTTGTTTGGTTTTATTATTACCTACACTATTTTAAAAACACATTATCTGCACAACTGTTAGAAATGAAATTTTGGTGAAATATCTGCAGTTGTTCAAAATTAAATTGTATCGAAAACCAGAAAATATTTTAACCTAACAAATTGGAACCAAGTTTAAAAGACTTACCTCTTCTGCTAACCTATCATACCCATTATGATAGAGTTCGCAAACATAATGCATTCTGATGATGTCTGGTGAAATGGCCCAGTCTGAGACCAGAGACATAATTTTGCTTATCCAATCGATTGTAGCCACAGTGTTCAGATCAATTTCATTATTCTAGGCAGAAATGAACAAATTAAGACATTTAAAACCTCAGAAATCATGGAAATTAGGAATAATGCACACAAAAATGTTTTTTTATGGAGGGGAAACAGGTCTAAAGCTCACTAGTTACATTTATTATATGAGGAAACAAGGGAGTCAGGATCAGTGATCCCAAGCGTGCGAATTAATCCTCGCCGCACGGACATTCCCAATACTGACACGGACCGCGTACGGACAAAAACCTTATGGGAAAACGCTTCCCTATCTGAAAATATCCATACGCGTAATGCCACAGAATGACGCACAGCCAATAGCAGCATGGAGAGCGGCAGAGCGTACGGATCTCGCACACGGAGCACCCAGGAACACTGAACAAACTGACTCTGATGGCTGCACTTGCTCTGATGACTGAATAAGGAGAATGAAATTGGACAAAGAAAAAACCAAGGAACCTGAAATATTCCTTTTTGTCAGATTGGAGAACTTCAGAAGTTACGCTATTATGGGGCTGACATAAGTCAGTCAATCTTTAAGCCAAGTCACTAAGGCTGCGAGTGATGAATTTTAATACCAACTAATCAGCCTTGGATTATGGATACTTATTTTTTTGCAACTACCGCCATGACACAAAATAACCAAGGGATGATCTTTTTCAAATAAGAAGCTTTGAAAACCGTCAAAATAAAAAATATTAAAATTGAAAATATACATATAAAAAAAGACAAAATTACCTGATTTACGGTTTTTTCTATTAATTGAACAGCACTGGAAACTGCGCGCTTCAAGAATTTCACACGAGATTCTATCAGTTTCACATCCATACCTTGTCGAGATATCTGCAACTGAGGCTGCTTTGTAATATCTGAAAACATGGCTGCTTGGCTCTGCAAAAACACGGGCCGAAAAAAGAGTCAAACAATGAGCGTCATATCAAAATACACATCCCAGTGTTCATGATGAACATTTATGAGATTCAATTCATCGAATACATTCATTCAGAGATAGTTTCTTTGCCATCATGCACTCAATTTAGCATGAGACTGTAAAATTTCAAGACAAAGGGCAAATGCTCTACTAAACACGATTTCTATTAGAGAGATACACCATTTCTATACCTAACCAAATAGTGTGCTGTACCCTAAATATTTGTAGGAATGAGATAACTTGTATTCGGTTGATGAATTTTAAATGATTCTATTCTTATCTCACTGACGAGTCAAAAGTCACATTTTATTAAGGGAGAAAAGATGAACTCTCCTGTCTACTTACAGACTGAAAAACAAAAACAAAAAAACAACAACATAAAAATGCATTCTTCCAGCTTTTCTCTGAATACAATGCCAAAAATTCTACCGGCTTCTTTAACCAAAGATCGACCATCATGGAAGAAGAAATAAAGAAATTGTAACGTTCAAGAACCAAAAATCATAGTGCTTTTCTAAGAGCAGTAATTTGAGTAATTTTGAACAAAAGGACTTGGCATTTGAGGAGAGCATGTTATTTGATTTTGCTGTCTAGAAGATTTAATTACCAGCCGGCCGATTATTGAAATTGATAGACAAAGATCCTATTGGAGGAAGCAGGTGGTTGCAATGGACAAAGGAGGAAAGTAATAGACTAACTAACGGCAACTCACGAGAGACCCTTTAGTTAGTCCATCATTTACCCCCTTAGTCTATAGGAACCACCCATTTCAACCAATAGGCTCGCTCCTACTCCCTATGTCTCCTTTGTCTATAGCTTTATCTATCAATTTCAATAATCAGGCCGCCGATGACATCCCGAAACTAGTACAGCTGGATCGTTTATAAGGAAAAGGAAATTCAAGAGCTATGCCTTCAAAGGTGCTAAAACTACTTGACCACACGACCAGGTCACTGTCAGTCGCATGTAAAAATGGGTTTTAAAAATGAAAAGAACAGGAAAATTGTATGTCCTTGCAAAACAATGGTAAAAATCTAGTCTTACGGTCAAAATCGAGGTTAAAATTACGAGTTTTTCCACAAAATAGCGGCAATGTATACATGCGGAGTCATAGAAATGTCATCACTTTGAAACTTCCTGGGAGAGAAGGGTTTTTAAAATGGGGGGCCAAGAACTTTCTGCATCTCTGGATGCTTTGACAAGTTATAGAAAGCCTACTAACGTTGGAGTCGAAGAGCGCTTGAAGTGGCTTCGTTGTTTTCAAGTTAAACGTTGCTAGGATGAGAAACGCCTCAACGCACTGTCGAATAATGCACAGTAGATCAAAGTTAGGCTCTGCCTGCTCTGATGCCAAACGGCACAGCATAATCTGCTTGTACAACTTCTGCTTGTGTCTGTTCGATTTTGGACTGATCCCGGCTACAGCAGCAGCCTGAAATTCAATGGACACTGATAAGTTGAAGTAGGAGAATGATATTCAATGGTGAAACTTGGAAACCATGTACCTATGTATCTTGACTGTGGTGAATAAAAATTCTACTGCTATTTTACGTTTCCAGGGAAAAATCAATTTCATAGTTTAAAATTTTCTGTGAAAATTTATCACATAGAAAGGAAAAATCATCAACATTTTTAAGAAATCAAGTGTTCTCGTTTAAATTACACAAGACGGGAAGTATACAAAGTCACAGACTGAGATACCTTGAGTTCAGTCATGGGAGACATGGATGATAAATATTATTGAAGCCTAAAGACAATCTTATTACAGCAAGGTCTTTCCATTCCAAGGCATAGGTGCTAGAGTCAGTTAGAGGCTTTCGTCATCATGATTTAGAGTGTACAAGAACAGCAATCACTACCTCCCTTGTGATATGAGTCTTTTTCTTTCAGGTGTTAATCATTTAATCAATTGAAATTGCAATTCTGTATGAAAACTAATCCCTCAAAATTCAGAAAGTAACTTGAGACAGTGTTACGACCCGAACAAGATTGACGCCCGGTTCGTTTGTGTAGACAGCACTAATGTTTCCATAAAAAATAGAGGTTCATAATTAAGTAGCTTGAGAAAGATTGCGTTGATCCTTCATTGCTGCATTGCAAAAAAAATGTTTTGAACGCTTGTCAGAGAAGTTGAAAATGCTCAAAACCCATCCTAAGCACTAATAGAAAAAGTTTCAAGTCTTTCTCACAAAATTTCCTGATTTTCCTGACCTGGAGACATTTAATGTACTAAGCTCCATTTTCGAGACTTGAAGACATTCTAGAGATGCTTTTAATAAAACTAGATTAGCACAACGTAAGCTTGAAAATATCTAGACCTCATTGATGATTACACATCCTTATAGCAAATTAATATATTTAAGGTCAAATATATTAGAGTATTCACCTCTACAAAGACATCAATAAACTGTGAGCAAATAGAGAGGAATGTTGTCATTTTCTCATCACTGAAGCCTACGTCCTGCATACACAATCTTTCTTTCGGAACTTTCCCCACTTTGTGGATGAGCCGTACTGCGAGTTCGAACCTCTGCTGCAGATGAGTGGTCCATATCAGTGAACACAAACCTGTAAAAATAAAATGAAAATCAAACAGTGCCGAACATTGGACGTACTGAAAATATTATTTGGAGAATCAAACCATAGCTCAATTTTTTGTTAATCTAAAATAACTACCTTTTGTTAAATCCCTTTAATGAACTAAGTGAATTCTGCCCTAACATTTAAACATTTTTTTTTATTACTTTGTGATCCCTACAAATCTTGAAATTTTGAGGACTTGAATTTTATTGAATGTTTCATTCAATCCTTATATTTTCTAAGTCACTGACTCGTATAATAGCCATTTATTGGTAGGTTCTATATACCAAATGTAAAATAAATAAATAAATATAACAAAAATTGGCCATCTACCTCAAACATTGCATAATTTCCTCTCTGTACTTGATTTGTTTACAAGAGAACTAAACAACGTTTCAATTTGACATTTTGTGGGTGTATGTTGTTTGAGTTTCAGAAAATGCACAAAAATAAGTTCTATTGCATCGTGATGTTTTTTCCCGTCATGATAATAAAACAAAGCGGGGAATAGGTGACACAAAAATCGATGGCTACAGAGTGAAACCATGCATCTTTATTACAATGCTTCAAAATTTCTGTTCCTACTTTATTTTTTCACGGAGAAACAAGCCACTTCATAGCTTGAAATATAGAGAATATTCTGGTGACGGAGAAGAAAAATCAAGGAGGTTTTCAAGAAAGTACGTTGATTAGTTTTTCAAACAAACAATAAAATATGACAGAAAGTCTGCAACGATGCAAACGGAGATACGTGGTTTTGCACTTTGGTCATCAAAAGGCAGTTAGGCTGATTCTGGTCAATCTATCTAAATACGAAGGGCAAAAATACCGTTGAGGAAATGATAAAAGGGATCCCAAATCCCTGCTGCATGCAGAAGCTCTATTTCATGACAGTAAAATAGGACAGAATCACTACAGTTCTAATTTGTTATTGGATAAATTGTGGCTACAAATATGATAGAGCTATGCGAACTTTGAATTCTCGATTGAAACAGGACTTGAACTAAATCTTTAACGAGATTCCAGAGCATGATCCTTAAATTGAATCTTTTTGTGATTGGAAGCTTTACTTACGGTATGATCAGTAAAAATTCTGCTCAAAATTTGCACGTTTTCCCAGAAAATCATGATAGTAATAAATTTTCAAAGCCTGTTCTTGCGCCATAGAAGTAGACAATAAAATGATCGCACGATTCAAAAATTGATATGTAATTCTGATATCTCTTATTTTTCAATTTCACATATTCATTAAAGAGGTTTCCAAGTTTATATTGCCAAATTATAAAATGAGACCGAAGTCAAAATTAGTAAAATTCTACCATTCACTCAAATCAGAAAACAAAATAGAAAAAATGACTACCATACCTTGCTTCAGATCTAGACTTGGTGTTAGTCGCAAACACTGAACAGCGGAGGAAAACAGCTCCATTGTCTCTAGCGACCTCTGCCACGCTAATATGTACTCCCAAGCTAGGTTTGCAAGTATATTACTACTGGACAAAATGTACGGGAAGTGTTTTTTTAACTGGATTAGACTTTCTAAAATATACGCTTCATGCTGATTTACAGGTTTTGCTTCACGACTCTCATCAACCTCTACATAAGAGCCTTCTAGTATGGGACTCATGAGCGATTTTTTTGGAGGAGAGCTGTCTCGTTTCCGCTTAGCGTTCGCTTTGGGGCTTTCTACATTATTCAAGTGGAATTCAATGTCATTTTTGTCGATGATGAAGTCCGGATGGATTGCATTGGCACCAAGCCATTTTGCAACCAGTTCGCAGATAAAACCTAGAGAAAAAATCAAAGGAATTAATTTAAAGATAAGTTAAAGAATGATCTCGATTGATTTTTTCATACTCTTGTTTGAAAACTTCTGCTCGACTAAGAACAAGGTTCAATATAGTCAAATTTCTATGCATCTATCTGCTCACTAGCGGTGCAAAAGAGAAGTCAGCCGCTTGCAACATATAAACTAGGATATTGAGAAAAAGGGATTTCCTTGGAGAAGGTCAATGTTTGTATTGACTTGACGAAAAGTACTTTCCAGAAATTTGCTCGGATAAGTTTGGTTCCCTATCTCTACAACCAATCAAATTTGAAAATTTTTTTGAAGAACTGACAGAGCTACATTTAACAAAATTGTTTTGGAGGGAGAAAAACTCTCAGATTTTTTTTAAAGGATGCTGATGTACTGAATGTAACTCATATTCACTGCATAGTGAACAGTTGGGTTTCTTAACCAACAATGTTTGACTTCTGTTATCGAAGCAAAGTAGATGATTTGTCCCGGGATCCAGCTGCGATTATTTGCAGCAAGATATTTTGCATCGGTTAGGTGAAAAATGTGGTGAAACTTATTTTCCTATTTCAAAATGAGATGATAAACTTTGCAAATAAATTTAAATAGCCAATCGTGCTCTATGAAATAAATAAATTAAAAAGAAATGAAAGTTATTCTCTTAAATGTTTTAAGACAAATTTACAGCTATTCTTTCTTTCTTTTCATAAAGTATAGGTTTCGTTCAGAGTTTTCATAGGATACATCAAATGTCAATTTAATCACACCCAAGAGCAAATAATCTTCTGATTAAACTGAATTATTCTTTTGAAACGAAAGAATTACAAACCTTTTCCCTCACTGAGTAAACTATTCAAGTTGATGGATGGGTTTTCGTAAGGCAAATGGGCAACACTGCATTCAGAGCTAAAGGATCTTATGCTAACCTTGCTGCAAAGGAGAACAAAATTTTTTCAGGCATGACAAATTAGAAACAGTTTACAGAAAAGTCTGTTAGGATTAAGTAGTCACATTGGTCATCAAGGTATCAAAACTAAAGACTTTATTTAGAATGCTACTTTTTCTTTCAATTTTTAGCAAAAGAAAAAAAAAAGATTCTTAACACCTAAAAACATTTGGACAGAGTTAAAAAAAACCACTTGTATCTACATTGTGGTTTTTTTTTTTGAAGTCTCATCTTCCATTTTAATATTTTGGAAGGAAACCAACAGACATTTTTGCTTAATTTTGTGGAGATGGCCTTTTCATGGGCAAGAAAAATTGCAATCATTTTTGAGGAGGGATGTTAGTTGTTTTCTTCTAAAAAATAGGACATGAGATTTTGAAACGGCTCGAGAATAGGGACAGAAATTGGGAGTGCTATTTATTTATTAAATTTTTTTCAAATTATGTATAATATAATTTATATGATTTTGTGGTGACATCACACGGGAAAGGCAATCGCAGACAGTTTATAAATGCGTTTTTGTATCATTCAGAAAGGGAAAATGTTATTTTTTTTTATTTATTTAATTTTTTATTGATTTTCCTTTTTTTAGAAAAAAGAAGAAAAGTTGACTCTACAGGAAACTCAAAACGACAGCTGGTGTTTAATTTCTTATTCGTTTTTTTCGGGGTTTCCATAATTACTTCACTTACCAATTTTCTGTCATTCCCCAATTTTTTCCTTTTCTCTTACTCCAAAATGTTCGAATTTACTGACTTTTCCCGACCATCAAACAAAACTTCAACTTGGATTTCTTCCTTTTAATTCTTCTGACTTCTGCTAAAAGCTGCTAATTTCTTGAAAATTCCTCTGAATTCCTTGACTTCCCTGGTTTTTCAGCTCACCGTAAATTTCCTGACTTTCCAGGTTTGCGAACGGCAGGAAACCCTGATTCTTTCTTTTTCAACCTTGAATTTTTGTATTTATTTACTTTACTTTTGACAAGCAGAAAAGAGTTACTACGGTGGCTGGATGGACAATGAAATACACTAAAAAAAATACCAAATGCAAAATAATTTGACTAATTTATTACCATAGAGTTGTGCACAAAGCAGCAACTTCTGTCAGGTCATCGATCATTTGACTCCACTCACAACCATCCGCGGAGACGTTTTCCCAGTCCTCTAAGTTGTAGACTTTTGTTGCCTCCTCATCATCAGCTGCTACCAACGACTCCTTTGAGTTTTTATCCAAGTGCTCTGGAAAAATGGAGAAAAATGTTTGGGTACGACAAAACTGATATTGATTAATCTTCAAATTTCACTGGTAACAGAAACTTGGGAACCTACTAAAATAGGCTGGCCAAAAATCAGTACTTTTACAGTGCTTTTTCAGTACAATCCCAAGAAATTCCGTATCTTCTTAACAGAAAAATTCAGTACTTTTTCAGTACCTCCAATTTACGAGATTCGAAAAATTTCACAAATTTGAACTTCTTGCTCATATTATGACCAAAACGACATGAAATGAAAAAAAAATTCCAGACCTTCTTGCAGAATTTCCGCAATTTTTCAGTACTTCCGGACTACTCTTAAAAAATCAGGACTATTTCCGGACTTTCCAGAAATGACTTGTAGACACCCTGAGAAACTATGCTCACTCAAAAGGTCTAATTACTTTTAGTCTTCCTGAATAGGAAATTCCAGAGACGCCTTTTTTTATAGACGATGTTTTCCTGCAGGCGTACACTGTGTGGACTAATTTCCGTAGACTGAATCGGCGTGTATTAATTCTGTGTTTCAACTTCATTCTACGTAGACTTACAACTCGTAGACTCATTTCTGTAGACGCAAAGTCAGTAGACTTTTTGCAGTAGACCTACAAACAATAGACCACATTCCCGTAGACCTACTGACCTCTAACCTAATGGACCCTGTTAAGCAGAGAGGAGCCACGCCACATCAGCTATTGCCAACTTTAACAGAGTAATTTAATTTTTTACAAAAGATCCTTTGTGCGGATTTCTTTGAAAAAATTATAGAATTAGTTTTGTGCTATGCAGAAAATTTACTGAAATTTGCACAACCATTTTTTGGTAGAAAATTGAATTGCCCAGTTACATTTGGCAAGGGCTGATGCGGCTTGGTTCCTTCCTGCTTAACATGGTCGGGATGAAAAAAAACGGAACAAGGAGAACCAAGTTAAAATTAGTAAAAATTCAGTAAATTTGTTTAATAATTTCATACCTCATAAAGAATTATGGTGCTCATTCTCTATGACAACACTCATCATAATAAATATTTCTCTAGGACAAAGGAATCATCCAGGCTTTTACCTCCTGTGTTATTTACAGCGCCACTCATTATAACAAATATTTCTCCCAGACAAAAAATTTATACATACCTACTACGATCTTCTCAAACATTGCAGCTACTCCTCTGAAAATAAATGAAATCGACAAGGCCGAAATGCAATCGGTGCTTGCAGCAATTAATTTTCGCAGCTCCGGCCAGAAATGAGACTTGATACCTGAAAAATAGACAAAAATTATTTGAGAAATGTTAAAACTATTGAGTAGGCAACAGATTAGCAAGAAGCTGGAAGAAAAGGTGAAACTAATGATAAAAAGAAAAATTGACGCTGAGTGTACCTGAATGTTTGGGTGTAATTTTACATACTTCTGAAGAATCAGTTATAAGATTGAAAAAAAGACAGTTAGGCATCGCAGAATACTAGAGAAAGCTGTAAAAGCAACTCTTGTGTAGGTGCGTAAATCAAAGAGGAACACTTAATTAACAGTATGTTCTCATAATGCAATGATATAAAAATTAACCTTTTTGCAAGGTAAAACTATTGAGTAGAAAACAGATTAGCAATAGGGCTGAAAGAGAGGATGAAACAAATGATAAAAAGAAAAAGTGACACTAAGTGTACCTGAATGTTTGGGTGTAATTTTAGGAATAGAACAAAATCAGTCCTAATATTAGTTGGAAAAATAATTATTAGAAAAACAGTCCTAAAATTTCTTAAAAATTAAATTTTGTGATTCCGAAAATATATTCAAATTAATTACCATTCAACTGGCAAACTGCAATTATGAGTTTTGTAAAATTTAGCATTTCGATGTAATACAGCTTAGACTGATGTTTTTTCTTTAGCCAATACTTGAGTAAGATTTTTAGCAAATCAAAAGACATAATTTGGCTTTCTCTACAAGCAGATTGCCATTCGACAATGGGACAACACTTCCCTGCTGCCCCCTGACAAACTAATTCACCTGAAAAAAAAAGAAAAAAGTTATACTACAGATTAAAAAGCACATTTTCTACTTGATTTACATAGGAGGTGCTTAAAATTAATTTCATCTTGGCTACAAATATGATTTTCCATGATTGTGTTGCAAATTTATTGGACATTATGTAACACTAATAATATTCTCTGCACACATAAAATCCCTAGAACCCTTCCAGCATATTGAGAATGCTAACATCTAACTGTTATTGAAAATTAATTTTGAAATTAAAATTGAGAATCAGTTTCGTTTACACTTTAACACCACAACACAACACCTGCTGATGAGAAAAATTGCTACCCAGGCCAACCAGAAGCTCTAGAAGGGACTTAGGTACAATCGTAACTTATTCTTAGTATGTCTAAGTATATATCACTGCTTTTTCTCGACAAAATTTAACTCTTGATACTTTGACTCCTAAGTAAGAATATTAGCTTTAAAACTCAATGCACATGACTTCTTGACTTTAATTTTCAAAAGTTTCACTATAATAAGTTGGAAAGTGCTGCTAATGAAATAAAAAGCAAAACAATTTTGGCATACTAAGTAGAGTTCCAGTTCACTTACTGATGCGGAACAATTTTTCCTCTGCAAAATCACACACCAATGAGATGACTCCATTTTCTGCGTTCAAATTGAAAGAATTTAGGAATTCTGAAAATTCTCCTTTATTTGAGCTAAAGGTCACTTTCGCTCGACTTTTCCCTTCATCAACCATGTCACTTGATCGAACCAAACAATTCAGTCGTTCAAATTCTTCCTCAGTGATTTGCAAAGTTTCACAAAGAGCCTGTGATCAGAACAATTTACATCAATGCTTATTGAAACTCAGCAATAAATAATATAGCATTTATGATTAAAAATTCTTATACTTCTTATATTTATTTTAACATAGCATGAGCATACATCAGGATTCAATTAATATTTTAATATTATTATTTTACTAATATTATCATTTTTAAATTATTTCAATACTTATTGATGATATCTTGAATATTCAGTTCCAAAGAAACGGAAGCTTAAATGATAACTCTTGAACATGCTCTTTCCCTGATTTCCTAGATCTCCCTCTCTGATTAGAAACCAAAGTTTTTCCTCACTTCCCTGGGATTTTCTTGGGCAAAACTGAATAATTCTTCCGAGTTCCAGTTATGGATATCGAATTTTGTTCATCTTTCAACCGATTCTTGGGTGCTTATTTAAATTTTTTACTCCAAAAGCGTTCCTGGTGTTCATATTATCTGGTCAATGAAATTGATAGTTATGATGACTTAATGATTCAGATATGTCATTCTAGAGGTCAATGATGGCAGCTCAGGTGCAAATACATAAACCTTTAAAACAATTTAGGTATTTAAAATTTCAAAAAAATTTGAGAACAAAATGGTCTCTAAGTGGTAGAAGAAGAGATTACCTGTTTTTGGAACCGATTTCCTGATTTTTCCTGGAATTTTTCATTCCCTGGTGAATCCCAGTTTTACTGTTATTCCAGGTCCTAAACACCATGTGATAACTTCATAGATCCAATATTTTTATAAGCTTAGCACTTGGCTGTCATCTTACATATTATTGAGACTATGGATCTCATCAATTATTGATACATAAATACTTCAATTGAGCAACAAAAAAATTGCAAATAATTTAAACGGTCATAAAAAAATTAATGATAAAAATATCAAAGAGACAAGATTGTACCTCTACGTGCTTATCATCACTTTCGACTACGGTAGAGTATTCAGGCGGTTTCAGATGTAATGCATGGACAAACTGATAGAATGATACCAGACTTCTTAAATTACGGACTTTGATGTATAACTCCTTATGCTCTGGATTTAAATCCGACGACATTTCTGAAAAAAGGAAAAGCAACCATAAAGAAAAGGATAAAACACAAAATATTGGAGTTTGGAGTGCCTACAGAAAACATGGCAATTTTTCGGCCACTGTTGAAAAAATAAAAAATGTGCCACTGAGCAGCAAAAGAATATAAACTTTTCCTCTTTCCCTTTCTTACAAGCAATATACTGTTATGCATATCTATACATGGTAGTCATCTACAGTCAGTTTTTGATTGCTATTGGATGACAACAAAGCAGTTGCTTAAAAACAAGAAGAAAATATGATCTTATCTGACTCCAGTTCTATACGTGAAATGATACATCAAAAAAAAGTGAAAATGAATTAAAATTCTGGATGTAAAAAAAGTGTGCGAGAACTCACAAAATGCTGAATTACCCGCTACAGTAATTATTTTTACATCTTGACATTACTCAAGTAACTGCTGTAGCGATTAATTCAGCGTTTTATGTATTCTTGCACACTTTTTTCACATCCAGTATGTTAAATCAACTTCACCTTTTTTTCGGTGAGCAATTTTGCATGGCTCTCTTACGATTACATAACTAAAATCAAAATGTTGCAATATTGTATTGTATTCATGCAATTACACAGCTGAAACACCCTGGAGTGATTCGTCAACAAACACATCTTAACTTCCTTCAATTTTTACTGGTAACTAAGACCTATAAATAGACTTACGTAATTTTCTGAACTGAACTCACCGTCTTCTGTGTTTGACTCAAGATTATCCAGAAACGCAGACAGTAATGATGGGGAAGTGTATTTGTCATTAATTAAGAGATCCAGGCACTGAGATTTCATATCAAACGTTTTAAGTTTCATGGCAGTTTTTTTCACTTCTTCGATTAATTTTTCTTCACTTGTCTCATCACTGTGTAGGCTATGCCGTAAATTCTTCACAAGATGAATGTCCTGGGCTCGAACACTGCTCTCCGTACTGTGTAAAAAATAAATACAATGATAAGAAGGAGAATGAGAAAAAAGAGGGTTGAAGAATGAAACAAAAGGTGAAAATTTGGTGTGCCTACATATGCATCAGAAAAAGAACGACCTCCCAAATGGAATTTTTGCATCTGCGCAAAGTGGTGATACGCCTGTAGTGTCTCAAAAGTCTCATCATATCCTCTCGTATAAGCAGACATATAAGACTGGAAATAGCCAATGTATAAAACCAACCAAATATTACCAATCTTGAAACTTACGGAGACTACTTAAGAAGGAAAATATTATTGTTTGATGGGTTTAATGAAAGTTTTTACAAGTAGAGGGTAGAAGTTTTGAGCTGAACACATTTAACAGATTTCTTCGATTAAAATTTGACACTTACTTCAAAGCACAATGAAATGGTGCAAATATCTCGCTAATCTGACCAAGTGGATCGATAAAGAGACATGAGTTGATAAGGCCTTGATTGCTATTTCTTGAGGTTCCATTACCGCACATTAGTTCATAATTATTATAAACCAACCTAAATTGGAAAAAAGAAGAAGAAAGAAATTAAGGACCCTTTTTCCCTTTATACAAACAATAAAAATGTACCACAGGCCATGCACATTTTTTTTCTTTAATTTTTGGAATGGGTGGAGCCCCTTTGGAAAATCAAGTAAGAAGGTCTCTCTGAGGTGTATCTGGACTAGAATGGTTGTTTCTTCTGCAACCAAAAAAATATTTATTATCACGTTTATTATATTAAAGGCATATTCTATTTTGACAGCTAGGAAACGTTAAAAGAAAATCGCTAACTTTTTCAAACAACAATCTACCAATTGTATAAAAAAGAGAACAATTTCAGGCAGTCATTTTAAAATTCACTTTGATGCCTGAAAATTACCTAATCTGCAGGAATCTTAAAAAATAGAGGAAAATGAAGTAAGAGCAAGAATTTTATATTTTTTATCAGATTCCTGGACAGTTTCCGTTTTCCCATGAATCAGGGGGTAAAATTTTTCATGAGACTTTCTCAGTTTTCTAGGTTTTTGAGTTCGGAACTTATCCAGTAGGACTTCATTAATGAGAAGTGTTTCTTCGGGAAGAAATTTATTGTCTTCATCCCCTTGATTTTTCTGATAGACATTCATGAGAAACAGTGCTATACAGGGCGATCAAAAAGTTCTGCACCATCAGCATTACCCCTGTAACTTTTGAACATATTGAGATTAAGATTAGGAATCTTGTGAGTGCTCCTAGGTCAAAGGAAACGATTTCTTTTAAGGGTTGTAGAGATGGTATGGGTCTTTTGGATCACCCTTCATAATACCACAGTGATTCAAAAACTGTCAAGGGAAAATTTTGCGAATTACCTGCCGTAATTGTCAACAGGAAAAGAAGCAACCTTTGGTCCTTGTTGCATGGCCCAGATTTCAATCAGAGCTTTCTTAGGGGCGTAAATGACAAGAAATAGGGCTGTTCTCCTATGCCCGCGAGCTTTTCTCTCCTCCTCCTTCACTTCTAACCAGCCGCACTGTGCATTTCTATATCCTTTCCACATCCTGTATAAAAAAAAAAAAAAAAAAAAAAAATTGAGGTTTTCATGAAAGGAAGTAGATATAAGAATCAACAGAAAGCCAACCAAACAGCTGAAAAAGATGGAGATTGAACCATCTTCCTGGAATAAGTAGAGTTTTGAGCACATTTCTTGTGCTCGAATAAATATTGTACAAACAGATTAACAAAATGTGACAACAGAGGTTATGGAGCTCTTGCATGCTATAGGGATTTGCTATTACGGTACTTTTTTGCGAGAAACACAATAATATTATTGGTTCTCCATAAAAAAAACAAAAACTTCCTGGCTCAAAAACAGTTCTTGAAATTGAGGCTGTTCGGGCAGGGATCCACGGTGTTACTAGAGAATCCGAATCTATATTCACTGAATCTTTCAGAAAGGTTGCCACTTCGTATAGAGACTTCAGGAGTCGAAATGGTAATTGTTTGTCTTACAGCTGTGGCAACCCTGCTAGGTTTCTGCTCCCTATCTGTGCATGGAAAGATTTACTAGATTTAGACGTGGACTCTCCCATAACACCAACTCCCTTCCACTGTAGCCTCAACTTCAAAAGCTTTTTTTCAGCTCAAAAGTTTGTTTCTCGCAACATCTCATGAGGAAAAAGGTATTTGAATTGCAAATTCTAGTGACATTAAGGAGCTTTAATTTAGTTTTTGACAGAGAATACTGGCTGGTGTTCCATGGAATTCTATGGAATACAGTAATCGTCTAAAGTTGCATTATAATAAATAAATGTAGAGCTCAAAGCATGGTACGTTAATACTTTAGGTAACTTAGCTAATTTTAATTTTTTCTAATGTTTACGATAAAAATAGATTTATTCTAAGTTCTGAATTAATCATGATATTTCATATTTAATTTAGAACCATATCCATTTTTTAAATGTGTCTCCTGTTACATTGTGAATGTATGTAGGTGGATACATGCATTTTCAGTGTTAAATATATATTATTTTCCTTACTTTTGCTTCGTTCAGAAGAACATACTGTTCAGCTGATTCAGTTGTTTCTCATCAATGTTAAAAAAAATGTATTCTTTGGTTCTTTTGGAAAATGAAAAGGAATTGTTTGAATCAATGGAATAAATATTATTTTCCGTTTGAAAATAAATAAAAGGACAAGTTTGTTACCTAATAGCAAGTCCTGAGTTGCAGTCCACAAGAATAACTCTACCTAAATTATCACAAATCGCAGCCAGATTGCGCTGCGGAGAGAGGAGGACACTAGAGCTCTGCCGGTTAACATCGTTCAACCCAAACCTGAAATTTTTAAAAAATAAAAATTGATAAGACTGACAGCAAATTTCAATGAACTAAGGGACACTCGACTACTTGGACTAAAAATTCCTAAAACAATATTTTTGAAATTTGCAATCTTGCACACACCACCTGATGAGTTACCCCATTTGGCCTTACCTAGATTGCTGACATTTGACAGAAAATATACGCATTTTAACTTCACTAAAATGCAAAAAATGACCTATCTCCTGATGCACAAATTGCGGTAAATGAGTGACGAATACTGGGACATAAGCTGTTTTCAAGTGACAACTTCGGTTTGATCTCCTGTAAATTGCAGTAAATGAGCGACCAATTGGACGTATTTCTATCAAATGGAACTAAGCGCCAATTTGAGTTCCTTTTGAGGAATTTAGAATACCGGATAGCGCGTTCTGTCAAACGGAACTAAGCGCCATGGAAAAGCATTGAGAGCATAACGGAATGATCCTGGCGCCCGGTTCCACTGCCAATCCAAGCCCCCCTCTACCTTCCTCACCCTATGGCGCTTAGGTCCGTTTGACAGAAATACGTCCAATTTTGAGCCAAGACTAGTTTTCAAACTTCAGTTTTTTTTTTTTAACTTTTTTTTCTGCCACTTAAAAAATGGAGCAGATTAGAACCTCAACAAATGTTTTTTTGATAGGATTTCAACACAATACTGCGTTGTATTTCTGTTCTAGCACTGTTATACTTTGCGATTTCTCATTTTTATATTGTTAACGCCGTTACTAAAATTTCAATGACCACATACTAACTTACCTGATAGACATAGCCTCTGGTGGCTCAATCACAGGAGCTTGTTTTTCTGATGATGCAGATCCTCTGCGACCGCCTCCTCCCAACCAACCACTGAAATTTCAATCATGAGATATAAAACAAATTCATTCCATATGAATAAATACATGTTTGACACTAGGTAATTTTATTGCAAAAAAATTGACAAATATTAGAAACATGGTAGAGGTTGTTTAAATATCTGGGGCTTCGGGGGCTTTAAAAAGTTGATATCCTCTGGAATTTATTCTCTTAGACTCATAAGACTACAAATAATCTCGAAATAAAAAAAGACTGGTAAGGGTGGTCCAGATCACTTTGGGTCTATTCACAACTGGTCTATCAAGACTTAATTTTGTCTCTTGACAGGTATCTAATTTGGCTGATAGTAATCTCATAAGCCAGAATGACACGCTGAATATGGGCAGCTGAATGTGGGCGTTATCATTGTTGAGTAGTGCTCTGAATTTTAAGTATCACATGCAAAATTCAAGGCACCAATGAGGATCAGGATTCAGCAGTTATCAGTTTGTCTGAACTATTTGAATAAGGTTAATACAAATGAGGATGAAAAATACCTAAAATTACGAAAATTCAACAGTTTAGCAACGACATTCAGCTCTCATATTCAGCTGCCAAATTCAGTGTGTGATTCCAGCGATATTCATAGATTAATAAGACATGATACTTCTAGGTGTGTAAGGCTATAAAAGGGTGAATCTTGGGTACGGACTTGGGAAAATTTAGAATTGTAGATTCAACCACCAGTAACTTCTGAGATTTGAATTATGTACCTTGAAAAATTGCCATCTCATTTCTAAAAACTCATTCCTCAATCTTTCTCTGTTCAACCTCGCAATTCTAATTACCTTTCTCTTTGAAAAATTCTAAGCTCTTAATACACCGTTCTTGTAAAAAATTAGAGGCTACAAATGAAAGGTGTCAAACAAGATCGCTGAAAGTTTTTTTGTTGGCTTCTATCAAAATAAAGAGACGGCAAGTTTTCAAACAGAGCAATTTAGCTGAGCAATTTAGCAAAATTTGTTTTTTTTAAAACCATGGAAGTTTCATACTTACGATACAACGTTACCAAGAGCTGACTTCAGTTTGTTGGTGACCAACTTCGCCAGATCCGAAAGGATCTGTTGAGATCCTGAACCCAAGACATAGTGAAAACCCAAGAAAGGCTTGCCAGAGGCAACCACCAGCGTGCTTTGCGGCGCACTACTTTGATACCTGCGGGATTAAAACATAGTTAGTGGCACTTCAGCATACCCTCACCTGTACTGAACACTAGTCTGAAATTTCAATTTTTTTTTTTTTTTCAAATTAACGAACCAAACTTTGGGTTCATTGCAATCCAAGGTCCAGCTAAAATGAGCGATAAAAATTATGATACTAATAAAGAATAGATGTTGGTTGATAAAGTTTCTATGTTCCTGTAACATATTATTTTTATGTAGAAGCATCAACTGTTCCTAAAATGGGGAGTCTTGGAGGGCACAGGGACTTCGTAAAGCGCACGCCAGCTATTTTACCTCTCTTGCCCTAAATCAAGCGTAATGTACAGTCTGGATTCTGCTATATACAGGGTTATTCAAAAGTCACGCACCACTGGCAATAACTTTAGTTCTATTTATGATATAGATTTGAGGTTTAAAACGCTTCTCCTCATATCGAGGGGGAAGCTTTTTTGGGTACTTTCCAGTTTTTGATCCCTTCCGAGGGAAGGGGGCGGGGGGTACCTGAAAAATTTCAAATGGCCACCCCCCTCATGGCCAGCTGTGGTGCGTAACTTTTGAATAACCCTGTATCTGTATACATAGCAGTGGCAAGGGCAGAGGCAATGGGAATAGATTGATAGTTGCTTATTCATGCCTTGCCACTGATACACAGACTGTTCATTGATGTAAGATAAACAAAAATATATGATTACAACTTATTTCGAAACAAGTTTTACAGTTTTGATTTTTTTTTTTTTTAATTTCCCACAATCCTTTCTTGCATGTAAAAGCTCTCATAGGAAAGGAAGAGAAGAATGGATCAAGATTTTTAGAAATCTTACCATGAATTAAAACCCCCACATACAGATGCAGTGTACAGGTGTTGAAACATGTTTGCTGATGTGAGACCAACCACCGCACTATCGGTAACTTGTCCCTGTTTGTATCCCCATTTTTTGAACGTCAGTGGAGGAGTTGGAACAATATCACTACAATTTGCTGTCACTAGAAAGTAGAGACAAAGACAATCAGGAGGTAAACAAAAAATTCCTTTCCATTCTGGGAAAGTGCGGATTTCTGGAACTAATTCAAGTTGAAGTAAATCTGAGGGAACGTTTGGACTGTGGCAGATTCAAGCAGACTCAACAAAACATTTGAAATGAGCTTTTGTACAAAATAGTTTTCCTAGGTATTTTTCGAGACAAGAAACTAGAAAATCTACCTACATTTTACAGGAGTTCAGAACACTTAAAAGTCGACAATACCAATGAACAAAACACCGCTCTCACAGAAATTTGAATTGAAAATTGCAGTTTAGCCTGTTCCACCATTGAAGTTGCACTACTAGGACAGTTCACTGAAAGTTTGCATATTGCATCTATTAGTTTAATATTAAACTGATGAGAGTTAGGCCTATTTAGATATGGTCATGGGAGATCTTCGGCCATAAAAGTAACTACAATGGTGACAGGTTACCATTGCTTATATCTATATTTCAAACATTGTGCATTTGTGATTTGAAAATTTTAATTTTCTTCAATTTGAGGCATTACTGCTTCTTATGATGAAAAAGAACTTAATAGGTAGAAACCCAAGAAAAAAATTGAAGTTGCGAAGCCTACCTCTAGCAAGTTGATTGCGGCAGGCTCTGAGAACATTGAACAACAGCGGTCCGGGGAGTATACAAATACAGGACGGATAAACTACATACACCTCCTCTAATTGTTCACCACACATTGAATGTCTGCCAGGTTGATATGATTGACACTTAAGTTTTAAAATGGGTTCATCGTGCAGAGGATGGGACAGTAGTTGTAAGCCAAGCTACAAGAGAAGATAAACCTTTTTATTCTGGACGATTGAAATATTCAGATATGTTATTTAGAATACATCTTAAAAGGGATAAACAAGTAAAAAAAAGAAAGAAAAAAAAGGAGAGATAAAAGCAACTAAACGTTATCATCACAAGGGATTTAAAACCGTTTCCACTATCACTTTCCCAAACCTCACTAATAAACAAAACTATAGAGGGAATCATTCTCTCTGCGCTGAGTACTTGGAAGCAATGCAAGCTTGATACAAATCGATGTTGTAAATTTGAGCAATTGAGGAAATATTTTTTAAAATACAAAATGTTGGTTTTTGGATAAACCGTTAGGAAATTTTCATTTAAAAAAAAGAAGAAAAAAATAAATAAGTCAATATAATATGAAATAAAGTCAATTTTAATCTGGAACAGAATCCATTACCTATTCAGAATTTTACTAATCATTGGCAAAATTAGTCAGTTTTTGTTTAAATAAAGACATAATAGATGTCCACATCAATAACCTAGGTATTTGAAGTTACCTTACCTGCTGTACATAAGTACTGAAATTAGGAAAACGATTAGGAGAAACACTTGGGATAAGTGAATGAATGGGGCTGTTGCATGATCCTGGAATGGCGTAGGAAAAAGGTGCAACTTATGTAAATTTTAGCGAGGTACATGTTTCTGAGCTTAAAAAAGCTTGAAACAGCTTTTTAGACAGACAAAAAGAAGCTTAAAGTTGTGGTGATGAGAAGAACGTTTCTCATTGGCTTCCTCCTTATGACACCATAAGAGGTGACGGCCCATGGTTTCAACCACCGTAAATCGTATCATGGCCGCTATACGACCGGAATGTATATAAATAATCGCAGGTGAAAGGATCACCAAGGTCAACGATCCTTGTGATGTCACAAAATATGTTGGCAAGATATTCTTTCGTTTCAAAATTAGTTGAACTTTCGGCAACCAATAAAGTCATTTTCCCACCTAAAATTTAATTAAATGAAAACAAAAGTGAAATACGGGTTTCCTCATTTTTCACGTACTTTACAGAAATTAATTTTAAAGAAAATGTGCAACAGCACCGATACTTAAAAATAAAAGAATTTGAGTGCACATAAATGGTTTACCTCAGTGAAAAATCGAACATATCCTGTAGAAAAACCGACCATTATGCAAATCCACTCTGCTTGGGCCACCGAACTTTTTCGATTTTGAGCGATAGCTAGCGGTAAGACGAGGACTGATGTAACAGTTTCACTGTAATAAAAAATAAAATATAATGCAAAATTGGTCTTCAGACAAGAACTTTAAGAGAAGGAGTACGATTTAGGACGATGCAGGGATTCAAGAATGGTGCAATTTAACTCTGTCTTCTCCACATACAAGACTGAAGGCTTCAAAGAGGTATATCAGTTTACCTGTGGACTGTTGCCTTTCAAAAACTGTTGGAGCAGCAATCTTTTAGGGTGACCAATGTATTTAAGATGCAACATAGAAGATCAGACCTTGAGATTTTTAAAAGAATTTTGGGCAAAACTGGCTGAAAAATTTACGAAATAAAGCCAGTTTGAGAGCTCCTGTTGGTACTTGGAGAAGAGTCTTTATGAATTGTTTGAGACCCTTCATCAAAATCCATATTTCTGCACATTGGTATAGAATTTTTATAATATTACAGAGTTACTTTGGGTATTGAATGTTACACTATCGTGAAAATAAAATTGTTGAGAATGATTTCCATATCTATAGATGCACTACACATAGAATAGTATTGAAAATAAAAATTGTGGCCTCACTTTTCAATCTGCCGAGGATCGATGCACTCTGAGACACGGTATTTCATTTTCACTTCACTTTCTTCCTGCGCATCCCATTTGGCTGAAAACAGAATATTTTAATTAAGTCATACAGTCATCAAAAAATCAATAATTCCACTATTAACATGAAAATAAATGAAAATAAATGATCTTTCAGACTTCTTCTTGCTTACGATTTCAATCATTAGTTTCCTCCTTATTCTTTCGTCTCACAAAAACTAAAGTTCCAAATTAATCGAGATCATATTTACATAAGAGAGGTTTGTGACAGTTTGCAACATCCTTTGCTTAGGTATTTAAGTTAGGTTTTTTGTTCTTGTTTGATTGATTAAATTTTCTAGACTGTGCAAGCCCAATTGGTAACCACTAAGTAAAAACACCTGCGGACGCGACAAATTTGAAAAAGCATATCTCAAATTATGCAGACTGCACGCTTTTTTTCCCCTTTTAAAAACCCCCGAGGATGTAATGCCACGTTTACAGTAAGTGTCCCATGATCCTCAATCCGCAATCATGCCAGCCCCTGGGAACTGTTGTTGGATATCATCAAACTCTGGTTGCCTGGCCGGGAATCGAACCCAGGACCTCCAGATCATAGAGCAAGCACTACATCCGCCACACTAAAGAAGGAGTTAAAAAATGGAATTCAGGCTTCTTTTGTGCCCAATAAGATTTTCTTATAATTTAATGTTTATCACTTGGCTGTACCTATATCTTGCACACAATAGACGATATGAAACCTAGAATTCCTGTCAGCAAATTTTTTGTTCCATAATCTTTGGATCCTTAAATGTATAAAAATCCGAATTTTTGGATTGGCTGTCTAGAAATAAAAGTTTTTTTCCTTCATAATTGATTAATATTTAATGCTCTTTAAATCTTGAGGAAAAAATTTTTGGGCAGACAAAGCGCCAGGTAAAAGAGGTGTAGGAATCAAACTTACAATTTAGAATGATCATGTTATGCTTATTAGCGATGACCATCATTTCACCAGTTGGTGACACACTGATATGACAGTCTTTCAGCCATTTGGAATCAGTTGAACTTGTGTCCGACTTTCCGTGTTTCTGAGTTTCCGTTTCGCCTGGTGAAATAAAATATGAATGAGACATTGTATATAGAGACAAATCAACCTGAAGTTAGAAGAAGCAATATAAATTATCTATCTGGATAAACTCATTATGTTTCACAGAAAATATTCCCTCATGGTTACGAATAATACTAGGCTGACAGTTTAAATTGTGAGCCATTTTTGGGGTTTTAAGTACTTGATCATGTTTTACCTTCTCTAAGTACTGTCTTTTTGACAATCTTCCATAACTCCTAAATAAACACAGTGACAATTAAATGGATTTAATTAGAATTGCTTTAACAGTATTTCATGTTGACTGATTTTCTGTTACGTTTTATTTAATTACCCGAGAGCAAACTTGAAAACTTTACAACTTACTTGAGGAGTAGTAATTTACAGAAAATTGAACAGATCCCAAAGTCATACAACTGAGATTGAGGAAAAGTTACAAAGGAGATGGGATGTTGATTTTGGACTTTAGGGAAAAATCCAAGACAAACAATGACAGTACATAGACAATGAACGGTACCGACAGCTTCCAATGGAACATAAATAATTATTATTCGACGAGAAACTGTTACACACCTGCATTTTCGGTAATTTCTGGAAAAGAAAGACTCCTTTGAATGCTGTCAAGGTCCAGTAATTTAGCAAAGGGCTTTAAGTGGCAAGACATCTTTCTTAACGCTAAAGTTTGATTGATAGCATTCCCAATCGGAAGTTTCCACTCCTGACACTTGAAGGTTTGAATGTATTGATGGGCTAAGACCTTTGAATTACATCTTAGAGCCAAAATCAATTAATTGGGAACGAAGAACATAAATATTAATGAGAGGAACAAAGCAATAAAAGGGAATCATCCACAAAACACTGATAACAATTAGACAAAAACCAAAAAGTAACCTAAAAAAACAGCTGATAATTCAAAACAAAGGCGAGTCTGTTGAATCTCCCACCAGAGAGCGTAACAATTTGTTATTATTTTGATTTTAGGTTAGACCGTAAAATTTTAGAATTTTCAAAAAAGGCTGAAAGATTAATTCAAGTTATCTATATCTCATTTGCGAAAATATTACAGTTTTTCAAGTCTTAAACTCTCATTGAAATCTCTATTAGTTTCATTCAAACCTGCAAGTATTGTACTTACTTCCTGTACGTAGCGGTAACCATACCAGAAATTGAATTGTATCACGATGAAGATTGAAAAGAAACTTGCCATGTGTAAGCTTTATTTTTACGGTGGATTTTTGTTTCTGCCTCTTTTGTGGCTCATCAACGTAGTCTCGTTTTTTAAAATATCACATAGAAAATCAACAGTGCCTGCTGAACAAGAACTTTACCGGTTCGTCGTAATGTCAGGAGTTGGCGTTGCTGTGTGGACTGTGATTCTCTCTGTTTGGATTTATACGTACCAGACAAATCGTGTGAAGTGGGGTGACTTCGGGGACGATATATCTTTTTTGATTCCAACTGGATCATAAGATTTTTGTGCTGTGGTTTGAACACCTGGATCGTCTACAGAAATAAGTTTTCATTGGTGCCTAACCTGCACATGTCTCCTAACTATTTTCAGTAAGCTCTTCAAGCTAGTTTTAACAATAATCGAGAGGCTTCGAGAACAAGTGGCATAAGTGCAGTTTTCCCTATTTCAAGAAGTACGTGTTTGAAGTTTCGAAATTACATGGATCCTTATGGTGGCAAGGAAGTTTAAACTGACTTTCTGACGCTTAAAAATTGGAATTTGGGAGCACATTTTTCTCAGAACATGCAGTGTGACTAGATTTACTTGGAATCATTAATAACTCAATTTTTTCTAAAACTGCTTATATGCGCCTTGTCTTGCAAGCCCCTGAACTGATGGATTCAGTATTTGTAAACTAATATTGTATTTTTGTACAGACTGTGTTGTTCTATTGCACCATTGGTGCCAATGTATCAACCCGTATTGTTATTTCTTGATCATCAATCTATCTAAAACTAATGTATGATAATAAGTTTATTTGATCCGGTAGTGATCGTTCAAAGTATCGATGACTGAAGCGCAAAACTGCATTTTTCCGTTTGCGACGTTTCAAATTTTCTGTCATACTTTGTTTTTCTTTTAGGACACTAGTCAACATAATTTCTTAAAAAATTTCTTGATTTTTTTTTCCGTGATTAACAGAATATTCTGTTTAACTCTCAAGCAATAAAGTTGGATAGTTTCTCCTCGAAAAAATAAAATAGGAGCGGAAATTTTGAAACACTGCAATGGTGGTTCAAGGTTTTGCACTTAAGCTGTCGACATATGAAACACAGCTGGTATGACTTGTATAAGGCATCTCCAATGATCAGTTACTTACCCTGGTCGTGATGCACTGAAAAATCGGCTGAAGTTAGTCAAAGTACTTATCTTTGATTCCAGCCGAACTAAGTAGTAGTCACTACACTTTGCCAACCGATTAAATGTAAATTTTTGTTCAGTAGCATAAATGAGTCAAGCCAAAGTTCTCGCTATTTTTCTGCCTCATTCAGTATCATCATTTCGGTTGTATATTGTGAGAGAAAGTTGCCGAGAAATAATCACTACATATTTATCAGAAGAGCATCATTTTTCTTTTCATTGATGCATCTTAACCCGCATTTTGTTCTCATAAGCTGTGATTTGGGACATTTTTAAATGTCTCCGGGCACTTGCCTAAATTTCTGCCACTATTAGTAAAAAAAACCCTTAGTCTTGCCCCTGCGTGGACTGTCTATTTTGTAAGTGATATCAACCATCTGTCCTTTTAAATTTTACAGAGGGTAATTTAAAGCTCCAGAAACTCCAGTTAGTTGTTGACAGCTTTAAGGAGGTGTTTGAAAAAAACCCACATATTATGTGTTTTTCAAATAATATTTTTGGTTGACACTCTATTGTACACTACAAATTCTGGTCAGTTACAAAAGTTTAATAAGTGTAAAATTATGGACTCATCCAGCATTTGGCTTTATACTTACCTACCCGCAGATTAATCAACTATTTTGTTGGTATCAAATCCTGTACGATTATTTTTTTTTTTATAATTGTCAAATTAATACTAATTGCAGTACATTTCAAATTGTATTTTGGTGCAAAACTTTGACTGCAAGTATAATCTTTTGGAAGAAACCTCCGTGTTCATTCAATCATCCCGCATTCTAACATCTCTCGCATCTCTAACATTTTTTCTCCTCATTATTCTATGTTCAAAGAAAAAAAATTCGAATAAAATGGAAAGTGAATCTGAAAGTCAGCCTTTATTTTTTCCGGCTCTTGATTCTCATCCTAACCAGCTTTTTTTTACCTATCAATTTATCTTTTTTGATGCCTTTATTCTTTTTAAATTTATATGCTGGGAATTGCTTTTACTTACTTATCAAAAAGAAGAATAAAATGTACAACATATCTTTCTGTATGGATGTTCTTACTTACCATTGAAAATTTGCAGAAGTAATTTTTTGGAAAAAGTCCGAATAAGAGCACCAGATGAGGGGCTTAGAGGACAAGGCACAACATGCAGTTTTTGCTATTTCCAGAAAAACCACTGAGTTTAAAGTTTCCAAATCATATGAAGCCTTAAGGCAGATAAAAAGTTCAAACTCACATTTTGATGCATAAAAATTGGATTTTATCGGTAAATTTTTCACAGAATTTGTTATAAACTAATATTATTTAGTTGAAATTACTACATAATATCTCAATTTTTTTGAAAACCGCACTCATGAGCCTTATTGGCCTCCAAGCCCCTCAAATTGTTCCAAGTGTGAAAGTGAGTAAAAGAGGTTTGGAGTTTTATTTTTCCGAAAACTCTAAGTACATTATAAAGAGAGAATATAGCAACTATCTTTAAATTTAAATTAATTTTTCTTGCCTTTGAATTTTTTGCAAAAGAAAATGTATGGATAGAATTGGAAGTTGAAACTACTGTAAACTTACTGTTTTTTCTAATACAACTTGGTTCGTTTCTATTAAAATCAGTCCAACTTATCCTCTGCCAACAAAACCAGGAACGGCACCTCCTGCTCACTGGCTAAGTCAATCCCTCATCACTGATTTTGAGCTCTCACTAAAGTGGCAACCAGCAACTTAATAAAAACACTTATTCGCAGGAAAAAAGGTACTTTGAAAAAGTGAGGGTCACGTGAGGTCGCTGTTTCAAGACGATGAAAAGATGATAAACATTTTTCTCTGGTTGCAACATAAATAAACTCAAGAGTTAATAAAATTAAAGGCATTGACATCCCTTTCAAAGCTATCTAGAAAAATAATTTATTTTATTAATCAATGATTAGACCTAGACCCATCACATTTCAGTTGAAATAATTTTGCAATCTGAAACCACTGAATATATTATAATCTGGCTACCTAATAATAATGAGAGATAAACCCTGGGCTGAATAGGGTTGTATCTGAGTTGAGATCCAAAGTAATAAACATGTGTACGTGTACCACATTACGCATCTATTTGTACACTTTTTTTTCTCGTTTTTCGTGAAAAATTCAAAGAGTTTTTGAGGATTTGAAAAATTCCTGCGCTTCGATCCCCGCAAAGTTGAAACTCCCGCCAATTTCAGTGCTCTATCATCAGTCAACTTGTTAGATGCCGAAATGCACCAATCGTCATTGTTGATGTTTTTGTCCGTGGCGAAAAATTTTTTCCATCCCCATTTTTCGAATTAATTATCACTTTATTGAATGTCTCAAAGTGTTTTAAACCAACGTCACATGTGTTCATAAATCGGCTCTTCACTTTATCAGTGGTTTGCTGCTCAGTTCGAAAACCCAGTCCTAATTCCCAGCCTCTTCCGTCTGGTCCACAGCTGCAGGTATGGCGGCAGCTATTATGTAAACAACCAAACATATTTTTTTGAAATTTAAATGTTCTGTGCATGTAATTCCTTCGTCATATCAGCCAGGAATTTACCATCGCTAGTAAGATTTAGGATATCAGGATTCTCTATCCCAATTAAATGTTGTAATCTAATATTGCTTAACAGCCGTTAGCCATGTCCGTAGGAAAACGTCTCTTTCGTGAGCAGTTAGTTGCTTCAAATCCGAAGAAATCTCAATAATTTTCAACTGTAATTTTTCGTTAGCCTTTTTCAAGACTATATTAACTTCTTGTCTTGTCATCTGGTCGTTCACAATCACAGCTGATTCCAAGTAAGTTTTCCAGAGCTTATCACCTGTTGATGTATGTTTCGTCGATAATTTGATATGTAAATCTAGTACAGTTAGGAACCAACATAAACTTTTTTTTGCAATCTATTGCAAGCATTTAATTTAATTTTTATTTATTTAACATAATATCTGATGGCATACATTAATAATTGAGGATCTTCTACCTTACTAGTGCTTGTGCACCGCATGTGGAGACAAACGTCAAAGTATTTTTTATGTCACCTCTCATTAGTGTTACCATCTGAAGTCAGATCCAGCCCTGCATGTATTAACCTGTTGAGTGCTAATTCAGAGCCAATCAGAGATTGCCGTTTGTCTCAACATATTATGCACGAGCTCTAGACTTTGAAGTATGTTGGATAGCGAGAGAATTCATTTAAGTGTCAAGACTAATATTTGAATGAAACAAACTTGCAAAATTCTGAGTGATCTTCAAAGCCACTGGCTATACAAAAGTAGCCCATCTAATTCAACAGACAGCTTTTGTATCAGAAGCAATGTTTCCTTGTAGCCAAATCCTGTTTTTACTTATTTCTCCTCAGGCTCTTGCCTAATAAATCCAGGGATTTGGTACTTGCCTTATTTCTCACAAGGATTCTACTCATAAAACCAAGAAATCTAGTACTTGCCACATTACGTAGTGTCATTTAGTACTTGCCCATTTAGTACTTATTATCTGATGTAATGTTCTGTACAATCTCCTGAGCATGATGAACTTAAAAACTGAAATTTTCCTTGTGTCCATCTTTAGGAAGCAGGGGTGAAAAGAGAATTCACAGCATTTTACATTTGTTTACCCCATTCTTTTTTTTATATCCTAATTATTTTCTCAATTTCAAGGTTTCCTTGAACGAAATTCGTGATGACAGGATTCGAGACTCTGTCTAAGAGAAAACTTTTGTCCTGATAGCAGTATACCTTTGTATCTTTGAACTTTACCTTAAACCTTACTTGAACTTTTTTCCAGGTATCCACACAGCCAAAACACATCATTGTATTCGGTAGCTTTCAAACATGGATAAATTGAGAAAAGTTTTGAGTGGCAATGAAGATGCTGATGATGACAGTTCCACCGGCATCATGGCCGTAAGTTTAAAATGTTGTACTTTGATATCATAATTGTTCCGTTTGGGGGGTTGAATTTTTGTCCTTTTAAGTAAAGATTTTGTCTTGGAATACACATGATAAGTGATGATTGAATTCACTGCTAATAAAAAGTTTCTTAAATGAAATTTTTGATGAGTTTATTCTGTTTCTTTGTTCTTTATCCAACTGGTTTTAAACTGACGATGCGTGGGCATCTTCCATCGGTGGACACATAAATTAAGTAATTAATTTAAAAAAAGTTCTGATCAAGGCTAATCCAGATAGGTCAGTCATTCCTGCCAACGAGTTTTAAAGCTCTTGAGCACCAACAGCAGAAATTTTAAATGCAATGCGTTTCTTACAGGATCATTTCGAGATGAGCCGCTCTTTTATCGTACATGCCACTGGCAGTTGGGGGAGTAGATTTCAAGAAAAAGTGGAGTGACTTTTATTTTTTTTTTATGATTTTTTTTTTTAACCAATTTCAAGTGGCCTATTGGCTAATTCCACGCTTATTACCCCAGCCCGAGGTGACCATTGCCTGAGACCATCCAACTCAGATCACCTGGCCGGGGATCGAACCCGGGACCTCTTGGTCATAGGGCCAGTGCTACAACCACTACACCACAGGAGGCCGACTAACCTGTGTGAATTGGCCTTTGTCCTGGTTAAGGTGAATTGTCTTTGGCTCTTGGCATGTTTGAATTGGCAAGTGACATACACAATGATAAAGTAAAAAATCTCAGACTTGATTTCGACTTTGTAGCGGAAAAGGAACTTCAGCCCCTACGCCTGAGTCGAAAGAATCGTTATCAACAGAGGAAATTGCAAAATTCAGAGAAATTAAAGCAGGATTGTCCTCTGAAAAATCTGTCGCATTAGATACAGATGTTGGTTACTGTATCAAATTCATCATTTTTTTTCCAAGAAGGAATCTGCTTTATTTTTCCTGAATGTGGTCAGAAATTTTTCTGTCTTTTGTTGTCGAAAATGAATCATGAAGCTCATGCGCAGGGCCTATTGTCCTTTTCTTGGCTAAGAAGTCAAAATCTGCCAGGATATTTGACTTGATCTATGCAATATAAGCATGCCAGTTCAACCAAGCCGAGAGCCTGGTACAGATCACCTCAAAAATTATGCACTACTAACAGTCACCTAGCATTTTTGATACAAAAAATTTTCTCTCTAACTACTTAAATTTTCACCATACCTCCTTCGGGAGAGGTCTGAAACGGTAAGGATTTTAAAGTTCCCACTTTTTAGCATGCCTCTGCAAACATATTAAAGCTTGTTTTTTATATTTGTGTAGGACATCAGTAGTGCCACAACATTGAGCTGGTCATCAAGGATACAGGCATTCATCATATGCTTCGTCCTGGGAATTTTAATGTCTCTTTTAGGCTCTCTTTCCATGTTCCTCCACAAAGGGCTCGCCTTGTTCGCAGTATTTTACACACTTGGAAATGTCATCTCGCTTGCAAGGTTTGTACAGCTAGGATAAACTTCTGCGATACTTATTTTTCCCCCAAATAAATAACTTTTTGTTCCTAAGAAGATAAATTTCTATGATACCTACTCTCGTTTTCCCAAAACAAATAACTTTTTGTTCTTGAGGAAATAAACTTCTATGATACTTAACTTTTTATTCTTGAGGAAATCTTAGTAGTGTTGGAAGGATTTTGCTACAGTAATGTAAAGAGTACTGATGACATCCGTGTTGATACTCTGACAGTGGTGAACATGAATTGTGACATCTTTTGTTTCTCCAGTCATTTCCCCAGAGAACTTTTTTTTCGGTAGGAATGGCACTTTGATCGATGATAAATTATTCAGACTTTGCTGTTTCAGTCAGGTATGCAAGGAGTCCATAACCGTCTCATTTTTTTTGTATCAGTGCATCCATTTTCTAAATTCGTTTTCTGAAAATACAGAGTGAAACAAGCTTCTAGACATTTTTCAGATTTTTTAAACCCCATATGTTTAAGAATCCCGTTTTGAAAATGCCAAAAATAGGACCCATCTGAACCAATATGTTAAGCAAGCTCTGATGATGTAGCCAGGTGGAAGGAACGTCGTTTGCTGATTATCTAAACCCAGCCTCAGACATTGCCCTACTACGTCAGCTACATTGTCAATTTTTGATCGGTCGGATTTTCGTTAGCTTTTCCTCCCCTTCGAAATAATTTTTAGAACTCTTGAATAAACTTTTCTCTTTTTGTACAAAATTTTACGCAAAACCAACTACGCAACAACCCTGCAAAAATTCCTTGCTGTTGCTCTATGGCCTTAATTTATTCTTTCTCAAACTATTCCAACGCAGGCTTTTCCCCTCTAAACTGTAAACTACCTGAGTAACCTCTGAAAAACTGCACACATTAGGCATTTTTCCATTGGTATTTTGTTCTATTTATTCATGTTTTTATTCATTTAAGTCAAAAATTTTAATTTTTCTTTTAATCCAACTATTCCTATTACTCCTTTCCCTAATATCATCCCAAAATTTACTCTTCTGTTTCATTTTACTCCCATACTCGCACCCTTTTCTTGACACCTCAAAATTTTATGCTCAGACTCAGTCAGGTGCCTTGTAGCCTAATAAATCTGATATTCTTCTCCTATTTTTATTTATTTTGGATGAACCTCTGATTCTGTAAATGCTTTAGTTGTTGGTTCTATATTTTTACTTATAATCATGAAGTAATGAAGTGACTTATCATGGAATTCGCTTGTTTCAGTACTTGTTTTCTGATGGGACCTTTCAAGCAGTTGAAGAAAATGTTCGCAGAGACCAGACTCATAGCGACTGTCGTCACCATCATAATGATGATTCTAACACTCTTTGCTGGGCTTGGTCTTAAAAACCCACCATTGGCCTTGTTATGCATGATCCTGCAGTTTCTCTCCATGACGTGGTATTCTCTCTCTTACATACCTTATGCACGAGATATGGTGAAGAAAACTCTCACCACTTGTATCGCATAATTCTTAGAAATCAGAAATCCACCGTGTAAAAAAACCAAGCTGATTTCTCTTCAGCTTAAACCAAATCCTTTGCTCTTCCTCTACAGTGTAGTTGGTAGTATCTAACCCCTAGGAGAATAGAGGAGAAAAGTAGGAAAAATCATTAGGAGACTTTTTATATTCAGGAGCCAATATTTAAGGTTGCCGCAGTCAGGAAATACTAGGAAATGTTCGGAAAAATGAAAAGATGTCAGGGAAAAATAGATAAGTCACCTTTATCTGCTTTTTAGAATGGGTTTGACGTTTCAAACAGTAAACTCTGCCTGGAAACTTTTACAAATTAAGTATTTTTAACCATCTGACATATCGACAGTGTAAGGCGGCAATCACATAACTCTGTTTGCGACGTCGCAGACTTCCTGTCATACTTTATTTTTTGAACGGAAAACTACTCAACGGCAATTCTTTAAAACTGCCGTGAATTTTCTTCTCTGTGCGAAGAAAATTCTGCAAAAACTTTAAGGAATGCTGTCAATTTGTTCTCCTTTAAAAAAATAACATAGTGGCGGAGATTTTCAGACTCCGCAAACGAGATATGTGATTGCCGACTTACACTGTTGATATCTTCAATTGTCTGGGAATTTCACCACACTGTGTCAAGGGATTTCATTTCCTGAATGCTGTTACAACCCTGAATATTGGTTCTTTCTGTGATAATTTTTTGTGTACCTCTTCACAACTGAAATGCTTAAACTGAATAGATGCTGCTCGTGGTGCAAATATTCAACTTGCTTCAGGACTGACTTTTTAAAATCTAACAGTAGAAATGATCCTTGAATGTGACTTTATTGGCCGCCAGAAAGAAGCGAAAAAGAACATATTAATTAAAATCAAAGATTATTTAACAAACTGTGTTAATTTATGTTGTTATCATGCCTGAAGTTCCAAGAAGAAGAAGAGAAAAAAAATCTCTGCTTAGTTAGACGTCATGCTTGTTCAAAAAATGACTCTATGCTAACTCTAACAGCTCAAAAGATACAAATACAGACACAGTTATGGAAGCATTGGAATTGCCTTTATAATTGCATCTGTTGCTGCTTATTTTAGTGATGGATTGAAAGGCTAACATTTGATTTTTCCTGAGTAATTCACCTGATGGTTAAAATTTAAATCATGTACATCGATTGTGCACAAATTACATTGTGCCAAAGCTGAGGATTCACTCCAAAACTGAAAGAGCAGATTGTTAATTTTTAAGGATCTGCTGCATTATTCTTGTCTGAAGCTGGTTTCGTTTGGCTTTCTTGAGATTAAATCTTCCATCACTTATTCCAAGACTGAGAAGGATTGATTGTTATTGGTGAATTAAGTGAAGCCAGACTTGAGTCACAGCTAGTGAACGAGTCATCATTCACTCTTCCTCCTCCTTATTATTTTATTATTTTTGTCAATTTTGGGGAAATTAATCGCAAACTGATTACATCAATGGCTAAAGTGCGAAACCATGTATCTCAATTTCATTGTTTCAAAATCTCTGCTCCTATTTTATTTTTCAAAGAGAAACAAGTTGAGTACATGGCTTGAAATTTTTACTGAACACTCTGATAGTAGAGAAGTAAAATCAAGAGGATTTTCAAGAAATTAGATGGATTAGTTTTTCAAAAAAAAAAATTAAATCATGATCGGAGATCTGCAAAGTCGCAAATAGAGATTTTGTACAAGAGTCCCTCAATTTGGTCATCGATAAGCAGCAACAACTACTACTACAAGGATATTGTACCATTTAACTCATGTTTGTCAGTTAGAAATTAAAATCTTACCCAGAAGTTAGAATGTAAAATCTGAGTGTGGAAATCAGGGAAAGATAATTGAAACAAAGCTAGATCAACTGTGCTAGTTTTAATTTGTTCATAGTATGTGTCCTCTTCCCATTTGACCAAATATGGTCAATACCTGTGTCAGTTTTTGATCTGCTTATTGTTCTCCTGGATACAATACTGCCTAGAATTAACTTAACTAGAATTTTTGTAAGAAGTCATGTTCAGTTGTTAGTAGAACGAAGAATCTTGAATGTTCTATCTGGAATGCTTCGTGATAGCAGAATCTGCTTCGTTGTGTTGCTGTGAGACTTGAAAGCCACATCATTTTCATTGACCAAAGTGTATGCTCTCGCAATGAATATGTGTCAGTAGTGGCCTTCGGTTTGGCGGGAAAGATATTCAGGAAGGGGGGGGGGGTGATGTTCGTGCTTGGGCGTCGGGATGTGAAGGAAGGATGAGTGGACTGGAGCCTGCTCCGAGCAGGTGCGTCGGCACGCCATGCGCAGCATTGAGATGATGTATGTGTGTGCCGTGCCGCCACAATGATGGTTGCTCGGCACAGCCAAAACGTGTTGGAAAATGTAATTAAAGCGGCTGCAAGTAACTAGTAAGGGAAAGTTAATTTTAATTTTTTAGATTGTCTCTCAGGCAATGATATACATATTAGCATTTACAAGCAGAATGTACGTTTATTGTGAAACAAAGCAAGAATCCGGAATTTGTTGCGATTTGCATATGTAAATACATAATCCCTCAGCATTTTAAAACGTCTACAAACTCAGTCAATTAAAATTCTATTTTTTGATCTTGTTTTAATGCATACTAATATGCCAACAAATTTAATCTGAATTTTAAATTCAATTCAGACTTAGGTGTCAAAAATACAAACTACTACCACATTGTACCATATTTTCTCTGTATATTTTTTGCATCTGTCATCTATCTATGTAGCTATTTTGTGTATTTTTCCAACATATTTTTTATATTTTTCATGATAGATTTAATTAAATTTTGATCAGTGTATTTCCCCTGTATAGTAAGTAAGTTTGATACGACTGAACTTGTAATCTGTATGCTCGTTGATAATTATGGTGTTCTCGTCTGACAAAATCTTCTAAAGTTTGTTTGCATGTTGCCATCTGAAATAAAAGCGAGGCAAATTTTTTTCAAAGTAAAGCTCTTTCGGTGAGACCTTTTCCTAGCAGTTTCTCCAATTTTCTGATCCAACATTGTATTAGTATTCATCTTTTTCTGAATAACTGAAGGGCACAGAGAGCTACAAGCCTCGGGAAAAACAACCCTTTGCTCCACCTTTCAATTTTTATAATTTTATCTATCTCTGCAAAGCACAAAGTAGTTTTTCTAGTACTTTTTCTATCAATCAAACAAAATTGAATCTTCTGTAAAACGAAAGGAATAGATAAATAAATATAGGGAATAAGAACTGATACTATGTCAATTTCTGACAAAATCTAGTAACTTTCTCTCAGGTAGCAACTACAACCAGATCATACCCTTTGCAGTTTGTGCGAGGCAATGCGACAGCATCTCTTTTGGACTTTAAGTGGTAATCTAACTGTAACTGTCTCGAATGCAACTTGTATGATTTGTATGGATACTTTAAAATTCTTTGATGTTCATTTTTCAACGTTTTTCCGCTCTTGAAGGATCTCAGAATGAAGATTTCCAAAGAGAAAATGTGAATTAAGTTACAAGCCAGTTCCCGAGTTTACATAAATTCAGTGATGAGCTAAAAATGAGTGCTCTATGAAAGCGGTGAGATGCTCAAAAATGCTATCCACTGCTCTCCTCCAATGGCACACTTGCAAAAAGATAGTGAAAAAATGTATGAATGCGTTGATATGAATCTTTAATTTCCTTCTCAAATATCAGTGAAAGTACTTTATTCTTTCGTATTCTCGAGAGCAGTCCTTTCATGTCTATAATTATGCTTGGAAGTTTGCAAAAGTAGTATTTGAAAATACAGTAATTCCCTGATTACTGGATCATTGATTGTCTGAAGCCTCAGTTATCCGTTGCAGGCAAAATTAAGTTTTTGGTCGAAAGCACATGTTAACCAACAAGTTGAAAACTACTTGTTTCTTTTGCTCATTGAACATATTTGGTTTTTCCCCCTTTATATGACTATGTTTACAAACACAATCAAAAATGGGCCCAGCTTTGGACCTTTGATCAGAAATAGAGCCTGAAATAGCATTTTTGCAAACTTTCTTTGTTGGTTCCGATTATCTGACTCTCTTGATATTCGACCCGACCCTCGCCTTAAATCGTTGGATAACGAATGTATTACTATACTTAGATAATATTGCAAAGTTTTTTGTAAGCCCCCAAGAACTGTATTACACAAATTATGTTTACTTGAGGATACCCCAGCAAAGAAAAACGGTTTGTAAGTAGTATCAATAATGATGTTCTGTGTTAGCCTCTTCGTTGTATAAAGTAATATTTCTTATGCAAGCTGTCTATTTTAATGTTTTTTTTTCTTTACAAGACTACAAGTGCCTTCAAATTGACTGTCTTCTTTTTAATTTTTTCAACTGATTGTTCCTCATTTACTCAAATTTTGTAAACCTTTTTGGATTGTCTCTGAAGGTTTCCAATAACACATTTTCCAAATCACACCTATATTTTTTAAATTTCTTCCTTAAAATGATCAACCTGTACTTCTAGTTTGTTATTGTTAACTGTTTTTAATTTACTAGCAGAACTGTTTTGTAAATAAATAATGTCCGATCATATAATGTCTTTTAACTTGGTTTATGAACCTTATGAGAAGCTCTTACCGCTTCTTACCTAAAATTTATCTGTGATGCAGTCAAAGAAAAATTTCCTTAAGGTGAATAAAAAATTGATTTAAAAAACCGAAGTCTAGGGAAGTTACTTCCATATCATTTGGTGTGAAGAACCTGACAAAATTCCAAACATTGACTCCTCAAGAATAAATCAAAGTTAGAAAATAATAAATTGAACATTTGAGGATCAAAAAATGCTATCTCCATTCAATTTTCTCGAAATTTGCCAATCATTTAAATTCATTATGCTTATAGGTAGGTGATGAGTCTCTTTTCGTGTACTTTCTGAAGAAATTTCTTCGTATCTGCAAAATAATTATGACAGTATTTTTTACAAGAATGCCTATTGGTTACATCTTTAAAAAAATAAAAACATCTGCCAAACTTTTTGACAGTGGAATTGAGATTGTAACCATGGCACCTCTACCAGAATGAGTTTAACAAAGATGCACCAAGCCACACTGAGAAAATAAGGTTTGAAGTTTTACTCTTCCGTAAGACTTCTTGTCAAAAGCAAAGTTTTAAGATAAGTTTCACAGTTAAAATATTTTCTGTCGACTTCAACTTTTTGACAGGAGGTTTCAGACAGGTTGAATAATTAAATACTCCTAGCTCTTTTTCTGCAGCGCAAACTTGATGCATCTCTCTAAAACTTGGTCCCATTACGAATCAGAAAAATATAGATGAAGTTTCTTGGTGCTTCGGCTACGGCCAGCTTTAAAGATTATTTATTTCAAAAGCTCATGATAATATCATTACTATTGCAAATTATGGCCTGAAATTTTGACCTGCTGTTTTGAAGAGCATTTATTGTAAGAACCTCTCGCATCGAAAACTGATGTAAGTTAAATAATTATAAAAACCGGGTTTAAAAGTAATAATCCAGGTTAGGAATGGAGCCTCGATAGCATCTCTTTTTTCATATCCATATTTCAAATTTCGCGGCTACTCCCCACCCCTCTTGTTTTATCAGTGATACCATAGCCAGCAATGCTTCAGCTTGACCTTTTTCAGCAGGCAAAAGTTGAATTCTGCGAGAGAAGAAAAACGGGTCGCCTTTTAAGACTTTTGGGGAAATTATTTTCACCAAAAAAATTCGTGAAATATACCTCCAACTACTCTAAAATAATTCTCGACTTGAAAAATTACAGTGCACTGAAAAATCAGATGCAGATCAAAGATTTTGAAGTTGCACCATCAACACAGACGTTGAGAATTTGAATAAACCAATCACGATTCACTTCAAGATATGAACAACCTGAAACTCGTTTTTCATTGGCCGATCGATTATGTTCGTTACAAGTTCGATCATCTGTTTCTTGGCCATTGTTTTCTCAACCCTCCATAACCGTCAATTTTCAGAAGTTCTCCAAGTCATAAATTCAATTTTCCGATCCTAAAGATTATTTCAGCGTCTCAGGTATTTCGCTTTTACAGTGACAACTATTATCTCGCGCTTGGTTTATTATTTAACTCACTCTTTCTCCCCTCCGCGAAATGCATGACCTTAACCTTTGTAGCCCTTCGCCTTGCTGAACTATCTTCTAACCACATGCCTCGCCATTTCACATAACCGTTAATCCTTTTTATCTCGTTTTTATGTACATTTCATAAATCAGTTTACTCATTAATTTTTGTTCCACAGTCGTCCGTTTTTTCCCTATTCCTTGAGAACTCAGCCCAAAGCTCATCTTGGCTCCCGAAGCATGCATGATTTTTCAGTTACTTTCCTGAGTTGAGAGTTCTTACTCTTTCCTTCCATTGTTCTCAGTTCAGATACTCCCAGCCACTTTTATGATTTAATCAGCTTCATAATTATAAAAAGTCCAGCTGCATTTTCCTCTCATGTAGGCGCACACTGTTTTCTTGACCTCTTTGTCTTCTATATCGCTAAGCCGCTGATTGATATCAGTCCTTCTCTTGGATCTGAACATACTCCTCTGAAGTCCTGGTTTTGCTAGTTGCAGTACAGCAGGCCGATTATTGAAATTTTGTGTTTGTCTGGCGGACACAGGTTAGGATCATGATTGGTGGGTTATGTCTTATCGCTGCTTTGTCGTGCCTTTGTCAGGCAGAATTAACGACATGCTGAAGGCACCTCCATAGTTCCTGATGGTATGTCGTCCATTAAACCTGACAAAGTAGCGATAAGACATGGCCAACCAATCTTGCTCCACTGTTTAACCTATGTCTGCCAAACAAACACGAAATTTCAATAATCGGCCCGCAGTTACTCTTCATCATTTCATTTCTCAGAATTGACTCCATTAATCTAATGATGGAGATTTCGCTCTAAAGTTAGGAATGATTTCATGGCCACGAATGCCCCTCAGAGAATGAGGAACTCAACTCTGTTGAAAAATTTTTCCTCTCCTCTGACCCTGAAAACTGCCGTGTGAATGTATTAGTTTATTAAATATTCTGAAGTCCATCTCCGGACTTAGCAGTTATTGAGTCTTTGCTAGCTACTCACATTTATAAATCATCTGAGCGAATATCAATTGTTTTCTGCTGCTTGAGATGATTTTACTTTGACTCAAGCGCTTGGGCATTACTTATGTGCATAATGCTTTTTCCTGTTTTCATTTTTAAATTTGACTAATGAGAACCCATGATACGTGTAGAAATTAGAGCTCAAGCACAGGGTCCTAGCAACCCGGGAAATCAGTAAAACGTTAGAGGATCCGCAAAAATTTGGTATGTCAGGGAATTTTATTCTGTAAAGAGTTTTCGAGGCAATGGAACGGCAGGGTAATCAAAAAACAAGAATTTTTTGGAAAGTGTTTCGCGTATTTACTGTTGCGAAGATTTCTACCAACATTTTTACCGGAATTTCTGCTGATGTCTTAAAATTTTAAAGGAAGGCGAACATGTCTTTCATAATTTCTCATATAGGAACCACACATTTTGCTCTAAGTAGTTATTCATCAAATTCCCGAGACTTGTCATAATTCTTACTTACGTTTGATCAGTTCAACCGTGCCGAAAAATTATAAATATTTTTCCCATTTGCCAGGGAACTATTTTTTCTGTCCATCAGATTATTTTAAATTTTTTCCTAGTTTTTTGGCTGTTTTTGTCAGGAACTTTTTTTTTTTTCTGAAAATTGTAGACACATTGCTTGAAGCTTCCATTGACCAGATAATATCAACATGAGGAACATTTTTTAAATTAAAATTTTGAATGTGCGCCAAAGAAATGGCTGTAAGATTAATTAAAATCGATATTCATATCTGAAACTCTGGAAAATTATATTCTTCCCCAAGAAAATCTGGGAGAAAAGGGAGAGGTCTTGGGAGAAGATTTTTCCAAGAAAAGTGGGAGATAACTTTAGTTTCTCATCAGGGAATGGGTTCCTGAAAATCAGGGAATGAGCTTTGCCAAGAAAACTGGACACCGTGCTTAAATTGAATTTTAATTTATGATGGTCCATTCTGTCACAGTTCTAGGAAACTAGTGAGGGATCTAGTAAGGGAAACTAGTCAAGATTGTTACTCTGTCTGTGAATAGCATACTAAATTATCAGATCATCCTCTGAGATATCATCACTTGATTCCTTCGTGTAATAGTTTGGCCGGTCGTGACACAAGTCTTTCAATGCAAATTTGTTCTCGCATTCGCCACTCTTTTGTAGTAACACTCAGTTCTTAGAAGTTCCTCTAGATTTTTCAGAGCATTTCTTCTATCGGTAGCGAGCACAAGCCCTTCAACTAAAAGTGAAGACTTCCGTAAGGAGCTCTTGAAAAAACGTGAGATCTCTTAAGGGAGCGCTTTACTAATGTTTTTTTTTATGTTATTTTTTCAGATCCAAATCCCCCTATACCCCATAATGATGAATGACAAGGAAAATAGCGGTCCCGCCAGAATTCGCAACTTCAAGAACAAGGGCAAAGATGGATCGGTAGGTTTTTCCTTCGAATAGATATTTTTTGAAGTGTGTAGTAGTAGATTAAGTTTTTTTTTAAAATGTCTTTTGATCGGTTCTGAACCCATTGCAATTATCCCATTACCCATTGCAAGCGTGAGGATGTATTTATTATCTCCAGGTAGGTAGTAACAACTTGGACAAGGTTGGTTACAAATTACTGTGGCATGGGAAAGTAAATAAAACAATTTTTAAAGCAGATATTGATTTAGGTTTAAAGTAAAAATTTCTTCGATAAAACAAAACTTCTGTGAAAATATTTTTGCCTGTTATTCCTGATTCATTTTTATCTAGGTACCTATCCTATGTTTTTAGTTTTAATTTTTTCTTATTCATCATCTCTCTTCTAAAATACTATCAATACATAGCTACTGCTTCATTTCATATTTTTTTAGATCATCTAAAAATGTAACTGTTTAATAAAATTTTACAATGAACTATTTATTTATGTTTTAATTTTACGTAAAATGTTATATTAATTTCATGACTTCAAGTTTTTGAAAGGTTAGAATTATCAAGAATCCTAGTGAAATTTTGGTCTCTGCTACCGAAAAATTGTTACTGGAGGTCAGAAGTAGACGTCATCAAGTAAAAGATATCAGAGGTCAAAACCAGAAGTAATTTCTTCATTTTGGAAATTTTTATAGTATGAAAATTTGATAACATAATTTAGTAGTAATTAAGTAAGTTTAGTATACATTGTGGCAAAGAAAGTTGCTTTGCATGTCTGACCATTTATCTTGTTTACAGTAAAATTATGTCTAACTTCAATCGCGTATTAGAATGCAGCAACAATATTTTAGCCTCTGAGTTTTTTTTTTTTTTGTTGTTTCTACATTTGCTTAATCTTTGTAGGAAATGCGAAGACGCCGCAATGAAGTCAGTGTTGAGTTGAGGAAAGCCAAAAAAGATGAACAGCTTCTGAAAAGACGTAACATCACATTGGATGAAGATGAAGAGCCACTATCACCACACCAAGATAACGTTTCATCACCATCAGAGCCTATCAGACTGGATGATATTGTGCGCGAACTTGAATCAACAGACAAGGTAACCTGTTTTGTAATTTTAAGCTCTTTGATTAATAAAAAATTTATTTGGACAGTGGATTTTAGGTACTTAGAATTGTTACCAATGTAAACAGTTGCCACTTTGGCACTCAATTTTCCTATAATTTTGTTTTTGAATCGAGGTACTGAAAAAGTACTGAATTTCTTGGGAATGTACTGTAAAAGTACTGACTTTTGGCCAGCCTGATTTAGTAGACATCCTGAAAGTATCGGACAGATAGAGCCTAGAAGAGAAGGAAGTGGCCAATCTTTTAAACCAGGAACTGCGGGAAATTGAGGGTGATAAGGCAATTTTTCAATTCATAATATAGTCGTTTTTCCTCCATCATCCCATTAAAACATGAAGCAAATCTGACTTTTTGCCAAAATGTTAAACTGTGTTTTTGCTAAGAATAGACCGGTGTCATCAATTTTTTTACTCCAAATTAAATGGAGTAAACTTTTTAACTATTAATGGGCAAGATCGCTTGCCTCAGGGTTAAAATTGCAGTGACTTGTGAAGAAAGGAAGGAAGGCCATTTTGAAATTTTTGTGAGAAAGTCTTTTTAAAATAAAACGGCCAAGAAATTGCCCTATTCTTGATATTCAATTTAAGCAGGAAACTGTGGCTTGAGTCAAATTCCACTCCTCTGCACAAGAATGCTGAAAGTAAGGTGTCAACAGGTCTGAAAAATTGGGAATTTCATCAGGTCAAGGATATTAGTAAAAGGCAGAGAATTGAAATGAAACTTTTGGGAAATTTGAACGGATTCAGTGCTGCTAGCGCAACTGAACTGAGTCTCAGCCAGGTGTAGGGTCCAATACTCTGTTCACACTCTGCCATGAACAATGCTGTATCGGAAAAACGCTATATGAACATCTGAATGTCACCAAACCTCCTTGCATGAAACATTCATTTTTCAGGAAATTAACGAGTATTTTTCTTTGAGGATTCCAGATACTGCAGATTAAATTGCAAGGAAAATTCTCTGAAAAATAGGGTGAAAAACATCCTCAAGTTTCCTTCCTAGAAAATGTGTATTTTATCCAAAAAAAACTTGGCAATGTCTGAATGCTCATACGGCGTTTTACCTCAGTATGGCAGAATAATAAATAGAGTTCTCCATTACTTTACTATACCAGAATCAGTTTCAATCAGAAATCACAATTTTAGTTCATTGAATGATGAATACATGAACAGCAAAGGTTCTCATGTTCTGGTTGTTTACAGTGAAGTTAATGCCAAAACTAGTCAATTTGTGTTCTGTGCACTCAAAATGTCAACAAGGAATGTCAAGAAAATTTTTTCCTGCCAAGTCCGTGGACAAGTTGTGAAAGAGTTAGTGTTAATAGTTGTTACTGTCATCCTTTCAGAACCTTTGGAGGGAGGCCGTCCGCAAAGTTCGTAAATGCTTGAGTAAAGAACGTCAGCCGCCTATCGACTCAATCATCCAGTTGGGAATTATTCCTCGCTTGGTGAGCTTCCTCTCATACCACGAAGAACCAGCCCTTCAGTTTGATGCAGCGTGGGCACTCACCAACATCGCATCAGGAACCAGCGAACAGACTCAGATCGTTGTCAAACATGGTGCCGTCCCTCTTTTGATTGAACTCTTAGGCTCGAACAAGATAGATGTCGCAGAGCAAGCTGTTTGGGCTCTCGGAAACATTGCTGGTGACGGGCCAGGTATGCGAGACTACGTTCTGGAGCACAATTGTATGACAGCAATTTTGAAATTAATCGTCCCTGAAATATCGGTAAGCATTTTTGTTTCTATGTCATCAATGAAATAAAATAGAATTTACGTAAGAACTTGCACCCAATTTTTACTGAAGAACTTACCACTAACAGAAAGAAAAAATGACAAAATTACTTTATGTTTGCGTATTGTGAAGAAAATGGGCACCTGCCAATAAAAAAGTCTAAATTTGTAAGTCCAATAATACGATGAGAATATGTAAAAGAATCATAATTGTTTGGTATGAATCAAAAGAAATATTACAATAACATGGTTTTGTACCTTAATAATTAACTTGGTTTCTGACAAATATTGAATGGCTCTGTCAATTTAAATCGATGTCTGCCGAAAGGGCGTAAGTCCAAAAACTCACAAACCCTAGCATCCTGTATAATCAAGGAAAGCCAGGGCTCATGATTTTTAGGACTTCAGTGCTTTTAGTAGGTATCAATTCATTTTAGGATGTAGGTCAAGAACCTATGAAATAAAACTAATTCCAGTTTCAATATCTCATCACCTCAGTTTGTCATATGATTAAAAATAATTCATCAACGCAGTAAATTTAATTTTGGTTTAATTGCAGACTCAATTTTACCATCATGATTTTTCATGGAAGTGTGTTGAAAAAACATTAATGCTAGGGTCTTGTGTATAGGAGGTCTGAAAAGTTGGTAAATGAAAAAAGTGTGAATATTTCTATGTAAGCACTGGAGACAGCAGCAAATAACCTGTCTTAATTGTTTTTATTTAACAAGGCTGAAAATTGTGGCAAGGATTTAAAAATTTTGCATTGCCTGCGAAGATGTACCTGTTTGATCTCTCTTATATGTTGGTTAAGAAGACTATTTACTAAATTCCCTGCAGGGCATGAATCTTCATCCTAAGAAAATTAAACTAAGTTTACTCTCAGTCCTTGAGTAATTATTTTAAATGCTTCATTAACTCGAAAAATTTATTTTTCCAGCTCAATTTCCTGAGGAATGTTGTGTGGACAATCTCTAATTTAGTACGTAACAAGAACCCACCTCCCAAGTTTTCTACGGTTTCAGAATGTTTGCCCACTCTAAACAAATTACTCAACCATGAAGACGAGTCTGTCATTAGTAAGTATTATTTCCTTTAATTCAGTCTGTCATGTAGGCAATTTCTAATGCTCCTTTTCAGAAGTTGCCTGAAATTTCCAATTTTTATTGTTCTTCTTTCTCTGCTGTATCTCGCATATCTCTTTGAAGTATTTGTTGTGATGATATCAAGGAATTACCGTTTGATATTTAATGAAACAATTTCCTTGGCTGCTTAACATCTGAACAATCTCAGTCTTATATCTGATTGAATTTGCTCCCCCACGTATATTTTGTAATGAAATAATTTTCCATTTTGTCCCATTCTCACAACCCTTTTGTTTTACAGTAGTGCATGTTTTGCTTACCAATAGCAATTTCCATTCTGAAGCAAACAAACCATTCCATTTTCTGAATCCTCTCTCACAATTATCCCATCTTAGGAACCCTTTTTTACGCCTTGCTGTATGCGGTAAAGAAGTTTCTGCTGTTCAGTGCACTTCTTCCCATCTTAGGAACCCTTTTTTACGCCTTGCTGTATGCGGTAAAGAAGTTTCTGCTGTTCAGTGCACTTCTTTAGATTTTGTCATGATGATATTGAGGAATTACCGTTTGATCTTAGATGAAAACATTTCCTTGGCTGCTTTTTATCTGAACATCCTCTTTTACAAAACTGTTCGAAATTTTCTGATTTTCCATAGGAAAACAATTTTTTATTGCATCTTTTTATGAGTTTGGTTCCTCACCTCCCCGAATACCACTGTCAATCATACGACTCCAAAATTTTGTTGTTACTACAGTCTACTTAAGTTTTGTTTTGCTCATTGGATGGTGAAACCTCGTAGAATTATTTTCATTGTCCTCGTCTTTTGTCATGATGATATCAAGGAATTACCGTTTGATCTTAGATGAAAACATTTCCTTGGCTGCTTTTTATCTGAACATCCTCCGTCGTAACAAAACTGCTGGAACTCCTCTAATTTTCTATAAGAAAACTTTTTTTTTTTTTTGCATTTGCTTACAAGCTTCTTTGTCAGCTGCTTAAGTCACACTATCAAGTAAATGATTTCAAACTTCTTTAGTAACTCTAGTCACTGCGGAAGTTTGGTTTAATTCAGTTGATGGTGAAACCTCGGAATATATGGGTTGTTCTAGTTGGTTGTTTGTCATGATGAAATCAAGGAATTACCGTTTGATCTGAAATGAAAACATTTCCTTGGCTGCTTTATATCTGAACATTCTTCTGCTAAATGTATCTGTCAGAGTTTTATGTATTGATACCCAAACGAGAGCAAAATAACAGTAATGCTCCTCTTGTGTGTCTCAGGACAGAGTAATTACAGTTTCTCTCCGCAGTATCTTTGAAAATGAGTACATATCTTAAAACGCCAAATTGAGTACCTCTTCGGTTTTTGGGCCATGGAATAAACTCATCAAGTAAATTGCCTTTTCAATTTTGCATTGCAGCCGATACATGTTGGGCGTTGTCTTACCTCACTGATGGGACCAATGAGAAAATTCAGGCTGTCATTGAAGCAGGTGTAGTTCCAAGACTAGTCCAGCTCCTTGGGCACCCAAATGCTAACATTCTCATGCCAGCATTGAGGACTTGCGGAAACATTGTCACCGGAGATGATGTGCAGGTTCGTTAATTTGCTCACATTGTTTCCAGCTCAGCCTGAAATCTTTCAATTGACATCAAGTCAAGGGCGATTCTTTTAGAATTTCGTCAATCATATGCACTGAAAAAGTACTACATTTTTTTGTTGAGGAGGTACTGAATTTCTGGGGAATGTACTGAAAAAGTACTTTTAAAGTAGCTACTGATTTTTAGCCAGCTTGTTTTAGTAGACACCCTGGAGATTGTCCATGCAATTTACTGTGAAAGTTGGATGAAAATTCATGGATAATAGCATGAAATTTAAATATTTTGAAATCTTACAGAAAAATTTTCCATCTCAAATCTGATAAACCCAGTTTTAGGAAAAGGGTCTAATGTTTCATTTCACAGTCCCCCCAAGTATGCGTCTGTGTAAAATTATTTATTTTAAATGTGGGTATCAGGATTAATTTTGACCAAGTACATTACTTTCGGCATTAAAGTTTGTCTACTGTAACGGACCATAGATTATTTAAATTTTCTTGTAATTTTCAGACGGACTGCATTATCAATGCGGGTGCTCTTCGTTTCTTGGAAGCACTTCTGAAGCACCAAAGACCCAGCGTAGTGAAAGAAGCAGCATGGACTGTTTCAAACATCACAGCCGGTAATCCCAATCAAATTCAAGCCGTCATCAATGCTGGAATCCTTCCCTCCATAATCAATATTATTGAAAGTGTAAGTTAAATAATAATTCTTCTCAGGAATTTTCATCAATGATCATTGAAACCTCTATAAAATGGTGTAACGCTGCTTAGTGCATGGTGTCTAGTTTTTTAAAAACCGGGGATGAGAATTTACCGGGGAAATCAGGAAATCTGTTCCAGAAACCGGGAATCTCTTCTCGAACCACCCAGGGATCATTTCGTTTTCAAATTTGGTGGTCTAATCTGACGTGCGCCAAAGAAATGGCTGTAAGATGAATTGAAATCGATATGCACATCTAAAACTCTGGAAAATTATATTCTTTTCTCCAAAGAATCCCGGGAAAGTGGGAGGAAACTTCGGTTTCTCATCAGGGAATGAGCTCCTGAAAATCAGGGAATGAGCTTTGCCAAGAAAACTAGACACCATGGCATAGTGTCAACGATCATGGTGTTAACAAAAACAAAATCTGATCATAGAGTCAACGATTGTTCATGTCGTGCTCAGGCAGTGAAACGCAAAAATGAGCCCTATGTATGGTGTCAACAAACAGTAAAATATCTTCCTTATAAGAAAAATTAAAGTCTACAAGTAAGTCCACAGGAGAGGTTTGGGTAACGTATGGTTAGATTAGTTTAATTTAGGCCAGGACATGTACGGTTAGATTAGGTGGGTAAGGTTAGAGTTGGGTAGGGTAAGGTCGAAGAAACTTTAATTCTGTGAAAGTGGGTTAGGTCTTGTGAGGTAAAGTTGAAAGTCTGTGCTCTGCAGCGTCTGCCACAGTCTTTGATAACACCTTCCGTTGGCTATCAGACGGCTGCTGAGCCTTGCGGGAATATAGAGGATACACAATGTGTCAATAGTACGAAGTTAAGGAGCACGGTCCAACTTCGGTTCCTGCCAGTTGCCTTGGCCCCTTGAGGGCGCCTCGCCGGTCAGCCCGGCCCTTACTTGTAAGGGAAAGGTGGGTAAGATTGAGTAAAGATGGGTTAAGTTAGATTAGAGTCAATAACAAAAAAAAAAACAAACAAACAAAAGACTTGAAATTTATAAGATGTTATAGAGAGGAGTTTTAAGTTCCGTTGACGCCATGATCATCTTTCATAGGAGTCAGAATTTGTTTTATTTGGATGATCATGGTTTCAACAAAAACTTAGAAAAACTGTTTGTTGACACCATGCTATACTATGTAATCCAAAATAGATGCCAAGAGATAACTTTTTCATGGTAGAATTGGCCAGTTCAAAAACAACCCATCTCTTTTTCTGTAATACATTTTCCTTCTCTCTCTCTCTTTCTAACACCTACAGTGATCCGTAGTTTTATCTCTCCCAGAAAAAGCTCGTGAGATGCTAAGAAATTAGGTTGGATGTAGTGAGTTGGAAAAATTGAGAAGAACTTTTCAGGAAGAGGAGACTGATCGTTTTTAATCAATTGATTTAATTTTTCCTGAGTCGCATAATGCGTTTTTCAAAATGTTCTCATTGCAACCTAAAATAAGGTATCAGCGCTGTTTGAATCTGATTATTTGGAAAGGAAGAAAACTAAAATAAAAACAAGTTGAAAATTTTTCATAATCCTCGCAAATCAGATGTGATTCTAATATGTTTTAAGAACAAAAAATCGGTTTTCTTTTTCTCTTTTTTGTAGACCTCCCCCGATTATATCCCAGGATCTTGCGTTATAGCATTCCTTGGTCATTCAACCAGATAATATTGTCTGATAGCTCTTTCAACTGCCTATTCAATCTCAGCATTTTCAATCAGGAAACCTGGTTATGTAAAGCTGTCCTCAATCGGAAAGTTTTGTCGAAATGGCAACAGTTAATCGGAGGGAGTCCAGGATATTTTAAACGCTGATGTCTGAAAATAAGTGTTTTTCTTTTAAAGGAAAAAAAAAATTTTTAAACAATAGCCAATAATTTTGCTTTGTCTTTTGTGCATTATGCAAAGAATTGAGAGAAAGTGAGGGGAGGGGGAATACAATTTCAAATAGTTATGTGGGAAAGAGAAATTAAAATGCGATAAAGCCACAAAAATAGACTGGTACATCAGCCATATTTCGTTTACTGCGAACCTATTGGGTGTTTTTTCCCAGAAATTATATGTAACGTGTAAATTTGTGTTCCAGGGTGATTTCAAGTCACAGAAAGAAGCAGTTTGGGTGATCACGAACCTAACAACTGGAGGAACAATTGAGCAGATGGTAATGCTCGTCCAATCTGGTGCCCTTGGACCGTTCTGCAACATGCTGCTGAACAAGGACTGGAAGACAGTGATGGTGGTCTTGGATGGAATCCAAAATATCCTCAGCAATGCTCAAAAAATAGGAGAGGCCGACAGGGTGGCGACCATGATCGAAGTCTGCGGGGGCCTCGACAAGCTGGAAGCTCTTCAGCAGCATTCCAACGAGAAGATCTACCAGAAAGCATTGGCTATCATCGATGCCTTCTTCTCATCTGAAGTAAGTAGCGCCTGATTCTTATCCTTGATTTGTATGAAGACATTTTTGTGCTGTACACCTTGCATCAATTTGTCTTCATTAACATTAAAACTAAAAAAATGGATGTGTCGGTTATTGCAAGAATGATGTACCCTCTAAATCAGTCAGTTGAGATAAAATCACAAAATCACTTATCATCTATCATTTTTCAATTTTTTCACGGTATTTCCAGAATTTGAATTCCCAATTTTTAAAGGACCTATTTTATTTAAATTAATAAATACCAAAAACCACCCGCAGCCCGTGATTCTCCCATAAGCTGCCGTGTTAAAAAATGCCGAATGGTTCCAGATGGTTCCCCTTTTTCCAGCGAACAAGGGACTCGGAATGGCCCGTTCATGAATTGACTTCATCAGCGCTCCAGTACATTGCTACTCTAATGTACTCTATGCTTCTCATCCTCTGTTGCAAATCCATTAGATTCACTCCATGAGCATAATAAAAAATTTCAATGAAAAATATTGAATCCTAATTCAGTTCTCTCTCACGAATTCTAATTTCTGTTCTATCCTATGTCTTTCAACAGGAAGGTGTTGATTCCTCAGTCGCTCCCACCGAAGTTGATGGACAACTCAACTTTACATCCTCTGCAGCCCCGCAAGGTGGCTTCTCGTTCTAAATGTCTGTCTACTGATCTCATCACTTGCCATACTATTTCCTCAATCAGACCGCACAATCTAATCTAAGTAGACGATTTAAGACATTCTACGTTTAGTCTGGTTTTAATCAATTTTACTCCGCTGTCTTGTGATACGATATTTGTGATTGTTTTCTTTCATTTGTCATATTGTTAACTTGTGTCCTCTATCGCTTCGATCAAAGATGAGCTATTCTATTTTTCTGTGATTCCCAACCAATTAAATTCTCCCTTTTTTTCTTCTTTTTTTTTAAGTGGAGCATGTAAGAGAAGTTATCCCCTAATATTGAAGTATTTTAGCATAATTTTGACTATCAAGAACTGCATCCATTCTTATTGGAAAAAACGTAATACATGTAATTTCTCTCTCTAATACCGATGTTGCTGTAAGTTTAGCAATCGCGTAAATTACCGGTGCATTTTCATGCTTTTGATCATAGATGTATTTAAGAAACAGACTCTTGAAAATCCTGGAAGTGTATCCTTCAAATTCATTCCGTGCTTTTCTGCTTGATGTATTTTAGAATCTTATAGTTATTCAATGTTTTTTTCATGGATGAGTAGCCAAATTTTACCTTGTGATTCAAGGAAATTCAAGTTCACTGTTATTTCTCGTATTTTATTCGGTCCACTTTAGTTTCATCCACTTACTGCCTTTGGATTTTAACTGTTAATCCTCATTTAATTTTAGTCTGTTGTGTTCTTTTCAATTTATCTCTTCAGCTTTCTCTAAGATGTATACATTTTTTTTTTCTCTCTTGAAATTTGTCACATTCTTATTTTCGCTGTCTATTTTTTCAAATCCATAAACTTGAATAAATCCAATTTATTTTGTATTCCTCGGATTTTTTAATCTCAACTACCCATGCACGTACAAGATGGAAATTTTAAGCAGAGGGCCCGTGAGATTTAAGTTGGAAGTTTACTCAGTGGTTGACACAAAAAGTGAGTCAATGCAGTCTGGTCAGAGTAGTCCAATCTGCAAATGTAATTATGAAAGTATGAATTATCAAATGATGATCATTGAATCCGAATCCGTATTGATCCGATAATCAGTCGGTACAACTAACATCATAATAGGATGAATTTTTCGGTGAGAACAGCTAAAACTTGCTCCAGGGATGACTCCATGTTTCAAATTTTTCGGGTAAGGCTCTGACAAAAAAGCTAGGGCCGAACTCTCCTTTGGACTGACAGAGTCCCCTAGGCCCTCCTTAGTGGGGTTTTTCTTCTGTCCCTCAGACCCCCTTGATGAGATGTCCTCCTTCTTTCCCCTCACTGAAAATTCCTAGTGCTGCGCGCAACAAAAAATAAAGAGGATCATCCATTAAAATTGATTTCGGTTCAACCTGCCCGAAATAAAATAGTCCAGTTTCTTTGTAAGCTTGCATGAGTTCACTTTGATTTAATCAAAAACCAATTGAAGAGGGTGTATCAAGGAACAATTTAAGAGAAAAAGTTTCATTTTGCTTATTTGAAGTTCCCGCTCTTAAAGCTGCAGTTGTTGCCATGGTAACGTTCCAAATAAATTGGTGATCGTAATTCTGAGCGGGCATACACCCGTAAATTCGTGTACTTAATCCTTTAGTGTTCTTTCCTTACTTTTTTTTCAATTAGTTGACCATGAGCCCTTGATTGCTAAATAATATGATTCTAACGCGTACTGCATTTCCTCAGATGAAAACGTATCGAAGCACTCAGCAAGATACCATGAGCTCGTCAGTGTAGAACATTAGGTATCAATTCATCTGACGGTTCTGAGCAATTCCTAGGAAGCAATAAATGTAAGTGTTGCTTGCTCGTTTTGATATGCTTATTAACTTTAATTTTCCGTGTAAGCTTTAATTTCACGGAGTTAAGGATGTATACAACTCAAAATTTGTACCAATATGTAGTTAAACATGAGGAGACATTTTTACACACGGTATGTACTTTAAAAATGTGGTTCTAATTTTTAATACTGCGTGGAAGAAGGGACTTAGGTACTGAAAAATTCCTGATTGAGGCTTTTGGTGGACAAAGCACAATAGTACAGTTTTTGCTTTTTCAAGAAATACGCGTTCTCAGTTCCGAAATTACATGGATTCTTACGGCGGAAAGAAAGTTCAAATGGACTTTCTGATGCTTAAAAATTGGAATTTGGGAGCGAATTTTTCACAGAATATGCATTAAAATAGTTTCACTCGAAACAATACCCTCGAAACAATACCCTCGAAATCATTAATATCTTGATATTTTCAAAAACTGCACTTGTGCGCCTTGTCCGCCAAACCCCCTTAATTGATCTATTGGTACTGCTCTGCCGTCGCTCCGCCGTGCTACAATTGAACGTCAAAATGTGAGCATTCGAATGTTGTCAGCATAAATATGTCTATTAATTTCCCTGAAAATCTGTATTTTATATTTGGAATACAATTTCGAGAATACATACAAGTACCTTTTTTTAAAATTAGGTAGCTGAGATTTTAATTGAGAATACTGAGGACAGACAGGAGCACGAGCACCGCTACTGCAGTTTTGACCGTTAAGGCCGTAGTTTAAGGGCGCTAAAGCCAGGATTGTATTTCGCAAACAGATAATTTTTGCAGAATAACTAAAAATTAAGAAGCAGGAGTAATTTAACAAAATAATAAACGGAACTCAAATCTACAGTATAATGCGAAACAATGTGGAAAATCTCGTCATGTAAATACATAAGATTCGAAAACGCCTTCAATTGAAGCGTGATACCTCACGCGTTCCGGGGAGTTCAAATAGTTGTATCCCTGCGCCTTAGCAAGGCGATGGAATCTAAATATTGAAGTAGCGTCCCCGCGTTGTTTTTCGGTATTCTTGTGCCGCTACTGTAATTTCGACCGTTAAGGCCGTAGTTTAAAGGCACTAAGCCCAGGATTGTATTTCGCAAAAAGAAAATTTTACCAGAATAATTCAAAATGAAGAAGCAGGAATAGGTATTTTAACTAAATAATAAAAGGAACTCAAATCTACAATATAATGCAAAAAACTAACGTAGTTTAAGGGCGCTAATGCCAGGTTTGTATTTCGCAAATCGATAGTGTTTGCAGAATAATTAAAAATTAAGGAGCATGAGTAATTTGACTAAACAATAAAAGGAACTCAAATCTACAATATAATGCAAAACAATTTGGAAAATCTCGTCATGAAAATACAGAAGATTCAAAAACGCCTTCAATTGAGGCGTCATACCTCACGCGTTCCGGAGAGTTCAAATAGTTGTATCCCTGCGCCTTAGCAAGGGCCGGACGGGTAATATTGAAGTAGCGTCCCCGTTTGGTTTTTCGGCTTTCCTGTGACGCTACTGCAGTTTCGACCGTTAAGGCCAAAGTTTAAGGGCGTTAAAGCCATAATTGTATTGCGCAAAAAGATAATTGTTGGAGAATAATTAAAAATTAAGAAGCAGGAATAATATTACAAAATAATAAAAGAACTCAAATCGATAATATAATGCAGACAAACTTGGAAAGTCTCGTCATGTCAATACAGAAGATTCAAAAACGCCTTCAATTGAAGCGTGATACCTTACGCGTTCCGGAGAGTTCAAATAGTTGTATCCCTGTGCCTTAGCAAGGCGATGGAAGTTTAATATTGAAGTAGGATCCCCGCGTTGTTTTTCGGTTTTCCTGTGCCGCTACTACGGTTTCGACCGTTCAGGCTGTAGTTGAAGGGCGCTTAAGCCAGGATTGGAATTCGGAAAAAGAAAATTTTACCAGAACAATTAAAAATTAAGAAGCATGGAATATTTTAACTGAATAATAAAAGGAACTCAAATCTACAATATAATGCAAAAAAATTTGGAAAGTCTCGTCATGTAAATACATAAGATTCAAAAACGCCTTCAATTGAAGCGTGATACCTCACGCGTTCCGGAGAGTTCAAATAGTTGTATCCCTGCGCCTTAGCAAGGCGATGGAAGTTTAATATTGAAGTAGCACCCCCGCGTTGTTTTCCGGTTTTCCTGTGCCGCTCCTGTAGTTTCAACCGTCAAGGCCGTAGTTTAAGGGCGCTAAAGCCAGGATTGTATATCGCAAAAACATAATTTTTGCATAATAATTAAAAATAAGAAGCAGGAATAATTTAACTAAATAACTCTAAAAATACTCTGTGAAAATTCCGATCAATAACACTCTGGTCTAGGCTACCTTCAAAAAAATAAAGCAGCAGCGAAAATTCCAAAACGTCACAATCGAGGCACGTGCGATTCGACATTAAACAGCACCAAGCAAGATCTAATACAACTATACGTACTCCACGGATGCATGCGTTTGCATATACGATTAATTGTAGGCATTTTCAACTTTTCTGGCTTACCTCAGTCGATGGTCCTTGTTGTCCGAGCCCAAGTATTTCGATAATGCGCTGTTACAAAATTATTTCACTCTCGGTTGCAGTGCTGGAAAATTTCGTATTTGGAACTTCACTTGGTATTTCTATTTCGGTGTTCGAAAATTTTCGCGCGAACATCGCGACTCGATTAAGGTGTTTCAAAATCACATGTTTTGTGGTTTTGCTCGACTCATTTCGACCAACTAAAATTTCCGATTATTATAACGACTTTTAAAATTTTATGCTCGAACTTCATCAAGAAATGTAACTTTGACTTTAAAACTTCTGCTCCATTCTGCATCATTGCAGAATTTCCACTCGAACCTAACTGTGTATGACAATTAGAAACATATGGATTGCATTTTGCAAAAAGAAACCACTAGCATTGCAATGATGCTAAGATTGTGCAACTCATCTTTTGCAATAAAATTGCGGAAATCGTGAAAAACTATGAAATTTATATGGTAATTTTTGTCTTAAATTTACAGTTTTTAGCTAGTAAAATAGAAACTATTAATGGATGATCGGGTTTTTCCTCCAAGACAAAAGAAGTTGCACAATCTTAGCAACATTGCAATGCCAGTGGTTCCTTTTTGTAAAATGCAATCCATATGACCTACAGAGTTTTATCTGCATGCATGGGAAAGGGGAGGGCAGTTTGATAATTGTCGATGGCAAAAATACAAAACCTCGTATCTGCCATCTTCTTCTGCTGGTAACCAAAGAGAAAAGGTAACACGTATCACATTGCTGACAATCATACCCTCTTTCTTGGGTCAATGATTTGCCTTCAATCGGCCGGGTATGCAGAATGCCTGTCGTGACGCACGAATAGTGGTATCAGAATTTCGAATTAAGATTACACAGCGGGTTGAAGGCGCTCCTTTGTATCGTATCTGAGTGGCCCTGCACAACGATGTTGACCAGAAATGTTCAGAATTTTGGAGTCTTCAATCGAGCCGTAATTTGAAAAAACGCCCGAAGAACATTTTGCACGTTCCAATATTTTTTTTTTTTCTGAAAGTCTTATTTCAAAAAAGAGAGTCCAAACGCTCGGTTCAGATTGTCGTTTTTAAGTCTTCTTGCGTTGGTCATCGTATTCTCATGCAAGACTGAGAATGTCGCCGTTTACAAGATCGGAACTTACTCAAAAGCGGTTGGGAATTCAATCAGTTTCGCACGGATGAAATGAGCTTTCGACGATGAACTGTGAATAATCAGAATTGAAGAAAAAGCACTTTGTCCACTGGTCCATTTGAAAGGCCGAGAGCGTAGCCCTGGTAAAAACTGGCGTTAGGAGCTGCGTTTCAAAATACCATAGGATAGTTCTTATAGCCGACTGAAGAGGGCGATAGAAAATCATATAGCTGGGTGTAGAAAGTGGAAAAATCATACGGCCGAGCTACACGAAACGATAAAAAATTATACACCCGGGCTATAGTTCCTATCGCCGGGCTTTACACTTTATCGCCTAGCTGTTGCTTTTTCGCCATCGTCTATAAAAGGCTATAAGAAATTGTGTAGAAATTATTGTGCTTTGTAAATCCTTAAGTTTGTACGGAATCACCGTAATATTTACAAAATGCACATTATATTTTCCTTTACTATACATATTTTTTTTCATCAATTAAAATGAGAATAATCCGTACAGAGTGTGCGAACATTTCAAAGTCATGAGTTGAAAAACGCTGACTCCGCGAGATTAAATATTAGAGCCTAACACAAAGCGAAGCGGCGCACGGTGGATCGAGTCAATGAGAGAGGTCGGTCATGGAGCGTTGCGCTTCCAATGTTACGAGAATAACGAATATTCCTGGTCATTTGATCGATTATGTACCATCAATCTCATGTAAGTTTTCGCGTAGAATTCATTTTTGATGTTATTTTTGGTGAACAACGTACCTGAAGACCCGTATTTGTGCATTTTGTCGGGAAAACTATACAGGTGCAAAGTTTAGGCGTCTGTGTTTTACTTCGTAGGACAGAGTTTTTAATTTTTCATGATGGAAGAGGATAAATTATGAATAAAATTATGAAAACTTACATTAAAGTGTCACAAATACGCAAAAATACCTCCCCAGTTATGAGCTGCTGCATCAGATAAATCATTCCCTTCACTGCAAAGTTAATTTCGAAACTTTGTCATAAGATATCATTCTTATGCATAAAGATCGGTGAGAAAACAAATGAAATACATTTATGAATTCTTTGAAAATATTCAAGATCACTTTTACTTTAAATTCATATTTACATTCAAAGGACGGAACAGGGACTTAGAGTAGAAAAAACACAAGATGGCTAGAAAAAAAAGAAAAGAAAAAAAATTTAAACATGCATGTAACAGTCATCTGTCATCTGCTTCTCCTTATTCTTCTTCTTCATATTCAGTTCCCCATCACTCTCATCGTCGTCTTCCGCTCTCAAACCGCATCAAACTTAAAAAACAAGCAACGCAAAAAACCGCAAAAATTCCACAATTTCCCGGACTTGTAACGTTAAAACGTACTCGCAGTGTAATTAGTTTCGCACTAACTGCACTTTGTTTACATCGAAATAGGTGAAAAATTAAAAAATATGTACGTATTTGAAAGAAGCATCAGTTATCAGAGTTCATCAGTGACCGGTCGCGCGCGATCGCGGAGGCCAACAGATAAAATGGCATCATAGTCAGGGGCCAGGCAAGTAAAGGGGGGGGGGTACTTGCTAAAAGTTTCCTCAAGCTATCTACGCATACGTCCCAAAAAAGCTTTCTATAAGGGATATGAAGGGATGTCCGAGTGAAAATATGCCCGATTTTTTTTTTTAGTTCTCCTATAGATATGTAGTTTAGGAAATAATGAAAATACGAGAAACGGGCCAAAGAGCACGTCTTGATGGTGAAACTTGTTTTTCAGCTTCCGATGAATAGGAATCATACCCACCTGGGTCATTTAGCAGTTACGAGAGTTCACTGGTCGCTTGGTTTTCGAGATAAAGCTCGCGCGCAATCTCGGAATGCAACAGAAAAAGTGACGTCACGGCCAAAGTGGCGCAAAGTGGCACCCAAATTTTGCGGGATCGTATTCTCAGGACTCCTACGAACATGCCTATACAAATTTTTCTGGCGGATGGTGGCGGATGGGTAGTTAAAAGTTTACCTAAACTTTTTTTTTTCGCTTTTTGAGATGAGCACATTAGCGCAAACATAATCATTGAAAAAATGGGCCGAATACAAAAAATTACTAATGCAATGTGTTCTCCAGACTCTGAAGAACAAGAATATGTCAATGAAATTAGCATTAATTTAAACAGAAGCAATTTAAATGGAATAGAAAGACTCGGACGATTTGTCGCTAAAATAAAAAGTTACGCAAAGCCCCTCTTTGATGCCCTCTGTCACAAAAATGAACATGTTTCGTTCCAAACCAATGTCAGATCCTTAAAATATAACTCTTGAGGAACACTTTTGACCCTTAAAAAATGCGATTCGCCCGAATCGCCCATGACCGACCTGTACCATTGACTCGATCCACCGTGCGGCGGCGCACTGGCGCCTACAAACCTAACAGGGATACTTCACGCATTGCGCAATGCGTGAAGTATCCCTGTTAGGTTTGTAGGCGCCAATGCGCGTTTTGCGCTGGCTGCCCGCCTGCCGCACCGCAGCGTGCCACGGCGCTTGAAGCAACTATTTCACACCAGAGGTATTGCACAGTATCATACGAAACTGAAGGCGCTCTAATATATTAGGAATGGCAGGAATCCTTCAAAAGTAAGGAGCTTTCCTCGAAAATTAAATCAAGATACTGCGGCCCAAAAAGAGAGCGGTAGTCCAAAACCTCACTAAGTCCTAGCATCCGTAATTAGTAACGTTTAGCATACACTTTATCGCCAGGCTGTTGCTTAATCGCCATCGGCTATAAAAGGCTATAAGAAATTGTGTTGCCGGCTATAGAAGCTACTGGAAATCGTACAGCCGGCTGTAGGTCTATGGTATTTTGGAACACAGGTTCTACTGTCAATTTTTACCAGGGAGATGAATGGATCATGGATGTCATCCGGGTTTCTACCGGCTTTAGATGGCTATAGGTAGGTTTTTAACGAAATATATGCCGAAGTGTTGGGGAAAAGTCGAAAAAAAAGTACCTATTATAGGTACCTAAATAATTTTTTGTGTGTCCACGCAGAGACTATATATGTATATATTCTAGAGACTACGCTACGCACTGTCTTCTTACCTATGTTGTAAAAGTCAGTCATTCACTAATTGGGGACTCGTCGTATTGGATCAACTAAAGCTTCTAAACAAGTTCTAAGTATAAATAAACTCTACACTGAAAAAAAATCTCGGTGTATTTACTGAGAAAAGGGTAAAATTACCGAGAATTCGGGGTTCTATTTGATCCCAGTTTCTTCTTGGTAAAATTATCATTTATGGAATGGGTAATTTTATCGAGAAATCTCGGTAAAATTATCAAACTTTCTCGGTAATTTTATTGGACCTTGATAAAAACGCCAATATTTTTTATCCACTGTGGTAGAATTACCGAGATAAAATGGCAAAGTTACCGGGAATTGATTACCAATAAAAGTGGTATTCTTACCTGAAAAAAACAGTAAAAATACCGGTTTTTAGGTAAGCTTACCAGTCTGTCTTGGTAAAATTACCAATAATTGGTAAAAAAAAAAGTGAGATGGTAAAGGTACCAACGGACCATGGTAAAAACGCCGAGAATTTTTTTTCAGTGTATTTTTGATTTTAGTGATCAAGAGCAGGTTCAAAACGCCAATTGCGGAAAAGCGTATCACGTGATGAAATGTCATTTTCCAACCGTACAATGCTTGATCCGGCCATATGAGATCAAATTAAAGCGTATCTGATTAGGAGTTGTAGGTAAGCGTAAAAATCTGTTTTCAGTCTTTAATTGGTCGAAATCCGCCAACAGGTTTAAAACACTAATTGCAAAAATACGTATCTCGTGATGAATGGTCAATTCTTTGCGCCGAAAACGCGAATCTCGGCATTTCTACCGTTCTTTCTAACATTTCGAGAAATTATTCAAAATGCTGAAGGAGTCTGAAAAAGCATCTTATTTTTGATATCCTCAAGAATTATTACTCTTATTCTACTAACAGTAAAGAGGAATTTAGACAGTTCTTTTTTTATTCTCCTGGAAAATCGTGTTTTCCGAGATACGCTTTTCTGCTCTCTCACCATCGATGTGATCTAGTTCCCTGTATTCCAAATCAATTCGAATGCATGCAATTAATTCGTCTAGACTTGTCTTCATCTTAAAAATGTAGGTACTTCAACTCCAACCATCCACTTTATCTACCTGAGGAATTACCTCACAAATGATCGATTTATGCAAATAATTTGGGTCATTCTTTATGAAACGACGTATGCGACTTAAGTTCAAGCCAATTAGTGCTCAATTTTCAACCGAACGATTTGAAGGGATTTCATGAATTATTACTGCAATAATTTACCGTAGTTTTACTCATTGTTTTTTCATAAAAATTATACCAGCACACGCTTTTGTTTGGTTTGCCACGGAAACTTCCGGCAACTTCATAAAGGCAACTTCATAAAGCTAGGCAACTTCATTAAGCTCATATGTCATTTCTACGGGGGACGTTTCAATTTCTCGAGAAAACTCTTATATAAATTCTTGATACAAATATATCAACTTCCACGTAGCTTACATTGCCTAACCACTAAACTGAAGGAGTTTTCAGATCGCGTAATCTAGGGAGACGTATTGTCGTCAATAAAGACACTTTTTGGCTCTCCTGCGGCAGTGAAGATGGATTTAAACAATTAACGCAAATGTCACATCGTATCCAAATGAGCCCCTCCCGACGCCCAATGGATTGAGTTAATGGAAGAGATCGGACATGAAAATTTTTGACTGAAACTGCAAATTTTGATGTTTATCTCGTCACATTTTGGGTTTCAAGGGGTGCTTTTGTAAGGAAATTTTACGAGGAAACCAATGGAACCACTTTTAAGAGCTCAAAGTTTTGTATGAAAGGAGTTGTAAGTTTTTAAAGTCTGTAAATTTTGTCCGACCTCTCCCATTGACTCGACCCACCGTGCGACGCTCCATGATGCAATCCATAAACTTTTATTGAATTTAGGTTTTTTCTTTAGTTCTTAGTTTCCCTGTTTTTCGAAGTGAGTAGGATGCAACTCATAATCATTCTCTTGTTCTTATTCCAGTCGAAATGTCGGACGTTCAGTATTCTTATACAAAAAAGCGGGCCGACTTCGGTCGGCACTGCAACTTCGGGAACAGTACGAAGTTGATGGTTGAGAACATTCAACCGAACAAAGCTCTTTGTGAGGAGTACATTCGGAAAGACCCCGTCGACAAATCCACCCAGCATACGAAACAGTTCGCTCTACACGAGGTGAGCATTATAACGTTTAAATATTTTTACATGGAACCACACATCGACAGTGTAAGTCAGCAATCACATAACTCGGTTTGCAACGTCGCAGACTTCCTGTCATATTTTACTTTTTAAACTGAAAACAACTCAGCGGCAATTCTCTAAAACTGCCTTGCAAAAACTTCAAGGAATGATGTCAATTTGTTCTCCTTTAAAAAAATAACATAGAGGCGGAGATTTTCAGACACCGCAAACGAGTTATGTGATTGCCGACTTACACCGTCGATATTTTTCTTTTCTGTGGGGAGGGACGGGGGGTTCTATAGTAAAATTTCTGGGCAATCTCCAACAACACCAGTTGGTTTTTTACAGATTTTGCGCTGAATCCTCATCCTCCATTTCACTGTGATAATGGTCCAATAGGTGGAGTCCGGGTAAGGTTCTTGTCGAAGAAAAAAAATCGACTTCAGGTACCTAAAAGCTGAGCGTCGAGCAAAAATATCATGACAAAATTTTCCCATTCCTGCAAGTCCTTCAAATAAGAGTGTCCACCTCCGAACTAGCTTATGATCTTTTGAACGTCTTTAGGTATACTATGAGAGAAAAGGTCGCCAAAAAGTTTTTTTTTTTTTTTTTTTTTTTTTTTTTTTTGTAGTGACTCAGTGTCTGTGTAAATTGGCCATTTACCTAACGAGCAAGACATGGTTAATGAATGGTAAAGATGGTATGGACGTATTTCTGTTGAATGGAACTAAGCGGCATATTGAGAAGAAGGGGAACGCAGGTTGGATTAGCGCACAGTGGATCCAGTCAATAGGAGAGGTCCCAGGGAGACAAAATATGAAAACTTTAAAAGCTTGCAACTCCGTTTATACGTAACTTTGAGGTTCTAAAAGTAGCTCCGTTGGTTTCCTCGTGAAATTCTCTCTAAGAAACACCCCTTAAAATTTAAAATGTGGCGAAATAAACTACAAAATTTGCAGTTTTAGTCAACAAGTTCATGTCCAACCTTCCTGATTGACTCTAACCACTGAGTGGCGGTCGCTACGGACTGCGGAGCACATTCCGCCCGATGCTTACAATGCTTTCCCAGGGCGCTTAGTTCCGTTTGACAGAACTACCTATCCAGCATACTAAAATCCTCAAAAGGAACTGAAATTGGCGCTTAGTTCCGTTTAGTAGAAATATGACCATAATATAGCCGGTTAAACTGCGAGTTCATGGATTTTGGGAGCTGCCGTGCTTTCTTCCCACCCAATAAAGAAAGATAAATGGACATTTCTGCTCAATATTTTTAGAGGATATTCTTGATAGAGCAAAAATTTAAGCAACTGCAATATCAATCTTTAGTTACCTGTCAAATCCAAAACTGAGATACGTGATTTTGTATAGTCCCGATCAATATGTCACTTCGGAATCGACCCAGGAACATTGCAAGCAGCCCCAATTAATGCGGCATCAGCCCGTGACGTAGTCTGCCGTGCTAAGAGTAAACACCGTATGAGCCTTCAGGCGTTGCCAAATTTCCTCTGATAAAAAACGAATTTCCTGGTATACTTATGAATATTTTCCTTCCAATTTTTCAGATGATTTTGTTCGTAATTTCACCTAAAGTTTTTGAAAATTTCGTAGAAAAATATCCATAACTTTCCTCAAAAATAAATATTTTATCAAAGGAAATTTGTCATTTCTCGAATGTTCATACGGCGTTCTTCCTTAGCACGGCATTATAGTATCGATGATGTCGATACTGAACCACGTATATCTTGGCTCGCGACGTTGCAGGGATTTTTCAACAGCTCGTTGCAGGTGTAACAACCCATTTTTTCAACTTTTGAAATTCACCAGTAAGGAGGATTATACGGATAATATCGTGCGATTATTTATGTTCTTTTAAAAACCGATCTTACTGAAGATTCGATTTATCTATTGCAGCTGAACACAATCCGTGCGGAGTATGAGAGCACCCATATCAACCACGTGGAGGGTGGATGGCCGAAAGACGTCAACTACCTGGACGTCGAACACACGCTACGATTCAGGAAAAAAATCGAAAAGGATGAAATGTATATTCACACTGTTCTTCAATTATCTCACGTAAGTACATTAAATTTTTCCTCAGAGATATACATTTATTACATCAAAATGGGTACAGAAGTTCTGTAATATGGACGTATTTATGCTACAAGGAACTATGTCTGGCGCAAACCCTATGCACATAGTTCCTTTTAGTATAAATACATCCGTATGTTTTCTGTATCCTCAAGTTTCACTGTTTGGGGCGCACGCGTTGCCAGAAAAAATGTAAGAGGGTCCAAGGGCTGTTTTATCCTTCACTGTCCTGCCGTGCTAAGGAAAAACGCCGTATGAACCGTCAGGCGTTGCCAAATTTCCTTCGATGAATCCCGAATTTACTGGGAGGAAATATTTTCCCCCAAAATTTTCAGACTATTTTGTGCGCAATTTAATCTAAAATATCTGAAAATTTTAAAGAAAAATATGCTTAAATTGCGTCAAAAATACACGTTTTATCGACGGAAACGAGACTGTTGACGCTGAGGTGCTAAGCTGATTCCTTGCGGATAGGCCCGTATCTCTACTTTTATAGAGTGACTCAGAATTAAGTAATAATATTGAAGGAGTCGATTATTTGGGTTAAAAAAAGACGTTTTTGAGGAACAAATTTTTTTCCAAAAACCCTTTCCCTGTGAGCCCCATAATCCCCCCATTATCTCCAACTCTCCCTTAGAATGAGGGTTCCCCTTTTTGGAGGTCAAAAATTAGAAGATCGCTAAAAACTACCTCTAGTTACCAATTTTCATTAATATTGGTTGATAAATATTGTCACAGTGTTAAAAATACGATTTTTTTCTCCAGCTTTGAGGGGCCGTGGCCCCCAGGGAAAGCGTTTTTGGGAAAAAAGTTATACCAAACAAACGTTTTTTTTTTTTGACATGAAGAATCGACTCCTTCAATATCCGTACTTAATCCTGAGTCACCCTGTATGTGTTTATGTTTTCCATGAACTGTCACATTTGGACCGCGTTAAACAGAAAGGAACCAAGCCACATCAGCTATTGCCAAATTTAATTAGGCAATTTAATCTTTTACACGAAAATGTAGTGCGGATTTTCGTGCAAACTTCAGTGGATTTTCTCCATAGTACAAAGCAAATTGCTTAAAATTTTCGAAGGAATCCACACAAACGTTCTCTCGTAAAAAATTGAATTGCCTTGTTAAATTTGGCAATAACTGATGTGGCTTGGTTCCTTTCTGTTTAACGCGGTCCATTTCAAGTTATCTTCTAGCACTGTCCGCGAATTTTTTCAGCCGATGGAGCACGTGATCCACCAGAACAACGCGATCAACATCTACGAGCTGTACTTCTCGGATATAGAGGAGGGGAAGGCGATGGAGAAGATCTCCTCGCGGACGATCAACGTCTTCCGGGACCCGAACACGGTGAAGCGACCCGTGCAGCACCTTTCCTGGTCCCCGGACGGGGGCACCCGCCTCGCCGTCACCCACGCCAACCTCGAGTTCCAGCGGGCCCCACACGACCTCTGCACCCACTCCTACATCTGGGAAGTCGGTAAGAGCCGAAAACCCTGGATAGACGATCAAATTCCGAACCAATTCCGATCAAAGTAGACATGCTGATGACTGATGGTCACCATCTGCCGTCAAATTTTATGACGGGCCGCACTCTTTTGTACAAGGTAAGATCAGAAAGGAGTGCCACCATTCATCATTTCCTGCCACAGGAAACATTTCTGCCAAGTTTTCATTTTAAAATGAAGCAAATTAATGAGTTTAAGACTGATGACTCCCGACACTTTGATGCTATACTTTGATCGGAATTGGTTCGGGAATTTGATCGTCTATCCAGGGCTTGACGGCCAATTTTGATCAAAGAGGACTGTTGCATGGTGACCAACAGTCATCAAGTGGTATACTTTGATCAGAATTGGTTCGGAATTTGGATCGACTACGCTCAAACCCACAGATGAACTTTCACACAATGGAAACTCAAATTATTTAGAGAGGCAAAATAGTGAAGCAACGTAGCAGGTCAAAATGAGCCTAATTATTGTCATAGCAAGCGCGAGGCAAGTAAAACGCCTTCAATTTTTTGTGTATGCAACTTAGTCAGCATTCAAGTACGTATAGTTGTATCCAGAAGGTGGCATACGTTTAGAGCTGACGACGGCTGAGTTAGATATTGCGAGCTCTTTTGCGCCTTGTTTTGTTTCCTTCTTTTGAATGTAATATGAGTGTAACTCATGGAAATTTCAATTCATGCTGTACCGCTAATTTAACATCACGCAGATGTTCGGAAAATGTGCGACGACTATAATTGGAAGTCGATTGGACGAATACTAATTCAGAACTGGGGACTTCAAAGAAGCCTTATATGAAACATGGTGTTTTAAATATTAAATTCAATCCTTAATCGGACGAATTTCCGCTAAATGAAACTATAGACGAGTGGGAAAGATGGGGCGTGCTCTAGTAAGCTACGTAGGAAACAATATACAAGTGGGCGTGATTCTCTTTGGGGAAATGGAAAAGCAGAATTTAACATTCTACCAAACGGAACTGAGAGCCAATTGTATGAGGAACTCATGAGCCATGGGTATGGGTATGGGTACAGGTATGAATATGGGTATGGGTGTAGACAGGGCTCATAAGTAATGCGGCACTGTTGATTACATCGAGCCACATCGTCTGCTGACGTCACTGGCGCTAAAATTCCCATTTATTCTTGCAACCCTCAACTAACGAGCACACTCCTTCTTTCCAAACTGTCTCTGGTTCCTTTTAGCAGAAACAGTGGCGATTCTTGAGAGTTGGCAACATTGTTAATTCTCCATTTAAATGTATGTAAAACAATCGATTCTTGCAGGGCCGGATTTACCTGCCTACTTGCCGCCCATGGGCCGCCTGTATTTTGCCGCCCCCATCTCATTCGTTTTGAAACATCAATAAAAACCGTCAAGTGAACGTGCCGGAGGAAGAGGGATGCATAAGACGCGTTTACTCGTGTTGGATACATTTTTTGCGGAAGCCCTGACAACACTACTAGCAAAAATTCACGGAACTTGGCGCGAAAGTTAAGTTCCGTAAACACGTCTCTGTGTGGACGGTGCCTTCCATTAATAAGAAATTAACGAAAAAATTACGAAAGAACAATCATAAATGTAGTTCAATAATTTTTACTTCCACCGCCGCGCCTTGCTGATCGCACTTTGTTTGGCGCAATGCGTGAAGTATTCCTACACTCTTGTAGGCGCTATGCCTTTCACGCCGACCGCTGCTGAACGCACACTGTCTTTGACGCAATGCGTGATGTATTCATGCAGTCTTGTAGGCGCTATGCGTTACACGGCGACCGCTGCTGACCGCACTGTGTTTGACGCTATGTGTGAAGTATTCATGCAGTCTTGTAGGCGCTAATATGTGTTACATGCCGACCGCCGCGCCGAGGGCCTCTCCTTTTCATCTCAAGTCCTCGTCATCATTGCTCTATGCGCCGCGCCGCTCCAGGCCAAATTGCGTGTTTGGTTTCTCTCTCAACTCGACTAATGAAAGGGCAGCCAACCTTCTGACACAAATATGCCACTGGCAAAATTCAGATTCCAATATTAGACCAAAACGGCCAAGAATGTTCATAAATGAGCGTTCTGGCCAAATTGCGTGTTTGGTTTCTCTCATAACTCGACTAATTAAAGGTGCTGTCTTTTGTATCGCCGCAAAACGGTAAAATTAGAAATTACGATACTCACATAGGAAATGCAAGATTTTGTCGCCTTTTCCCGTTTGCAATTTCATTTTTATACCTACATTTAAAAAAATTGCAAAATTTGCCGTCCACTAAATTTGCCGCCGAGGGCCGCGGCCCATGTGGCCACCCCCTTAATCCGGTCCTGGATTCCTGGCGAGGCAATCACCTAAAATCGATATTTTCAATGGATTTAAATAGAGGAAAAACAGTTTTGCCAACTTGTAAAATCACAACTGAGCATAAATACGCTCAAATATGAGACAAGTCGAGCAAAAATCGGCACTGCAGCGCAATTTTCGTTCCCAAATCGTTCAGATTTGGATGCTGTATTTGTGTCATTTGTGCAACTTTGGGAGCGAAGAGGTCCTATTTCCATTCTAAAGCTTGGCAACCTGTCTTTGAGGATGATTAAAAAGCTCGCAGGTGCAAGGGAGAAGGGTGAATGACCGCGGTAAAGATGGGCGAAGGAAAAATCGCGATCTCTTTATTTTCATCTCTCGACATCGAATCACGGTTGCTTCCATGCCTCCATCGCACCTCCGCTATTCTCCGCACCGGGGCCTTTCCTTTCTCCCCTTTATTTTTTCACAACTGCCGAATGAATGGGCTTCGCCCCGCTGCAAATTGAAAACACTCTTAGAGAGGCTCTCCTGTATACCCTTTTGCCAGATAGCATGAATATTGGAGAATTCACTGGAGGATTCTGCATTGCCTCGTGTCAAAGTGCTTTGAAAGCTAATTTTACAAGGTTTTTTTACATTTTTCCCCCTTCGAGTAAATTATTTGGATAGGTACAATAATATAAAGATGACGGAAAGCGTGTTCTATAGGAGGAATTAATTAACCCTGTTGCTCAAATACCAAAAATAAAACCAACGTTTCTATATTAAAATTTAAATTATCCGAGAAAAGAAAAAAAGGGAAATTTGCTGAAATTTCAGCGGTTGGCTGAAGCTTTCATTTTCGTCATACGCTTGTAATAGCTAATCTAATTTTAACTCTTTGGCAAGACAGCCGTAAGTGCTATTTTTGCATGCTTTCATGGTTGCGTTTTGGACACAAAACAAACACATTTTCCGGTTAGGAATTGGCAAAAGAGGGCACTAAAGCTTCTTTTTACTCGAAAGCACTGTTTTTATTGGCTCTCTGGAAGCAGGGCCGGATTAAAGGGGTGGCCACATGGGCCGCGGCCCATGGCGGCAAATCTATAGGGGGCGGCAAATTTTGCGATTTTTTTAAATGTAGGTATAAAAAATATTCGGATTTATAAAAGAAAAATTACAAACGAGAAAAGGCGACAATATCTCTAATTTTCTGAGAGTATAGTAATTTCTACTTTTGTCGCCTTTCAGTGACACAAGAGACAGCACCTTGAATTAGTCGAGTTAAGAGAGAAACCAAACACGCAATTTGGCCTGGAGAGAAATGATGACGAGGACTTGAGATGAAAAGGAGAAGCCCTCGGCGCGGCGATCGGCATGTAACACATATTAGCTCCCACAAGACTGCACGAATACTTCACGCATTGCATCAAACACAGTGCGGTCATTGCGGACAGCGTGAAACGGATAGCGCCTACCAGAATGCATGAATACCTCACGCATTGCGGCAAACACAGTGTGGTCATAGCGTGAAGAGGCATAGCGCCTACAAGACTGCGTGAATACTTCACGCATTGCGTCAAACACAGTGCGGTCTGCGAGGCGCGGCGGCGGAAGTTAAAATCATCAATCCACATTTATGTTTGTTCTTTCATAATTTTTTTTGTTCATTTTTTATGAATGGAAGGCCTTGTCCACACAGAGATAGGTTTACGAAACTTAACTTTTGCGCAAAGTTCCGTGAACTTTTGCCAGTAGTGTTGACACGGCTTTCCCAAAAAATGTGTTCAACAGGAGTGAATGCGTCTTATGCAGCCCTCCCCCACTGACTCGTTCATTTGATGGTTTTTATCGAGTTTCAAAACGAATGAGAAGGGGGCGGCAAAATACAGGCGGCCCATGGGCGGCAAGTGGGTAAATCCGGCCCTGTCTGGAAGAATATTGTCCCTCACTGCTTTCTTACCTGAAACTACGTCATTTTTTGCGGAATTGCGGTTTTCTGATACGTCTCGTGTTCATACAATGGACCACTAGACAAGGTACGAATTTAAGCATTCTGATACATGTATCTTGATCAGAACTTCACGTAGAACACGATTCGCGCAACGAAAATTATTGAAACCAACTCCTAACGAAGCTATTAACATTTTTATTTCATATTAGTTAGTAGTTACGAGGAATTTGAACTGCCCGCTCACTAGAAACTCAAAGCTCTACGTGAGTCAAATCGCGTACTACAACGGTTTCAGCAATCTTCTCAATCGAGCAATGTTCATTTCCCACCGTGTGTTGTTCAAACTATAAGTAATTTGCTATAGCTGAGCCGAAGTATCAAGATTGAGGTCGCCAGATTTTTTTATCGCAGAGACGTTCATGATAACGTTTAGCGCGCGATGAGAATCACGTAGAGCATTGAGTTTTCATGAGCGGGTGGTTTGAATTCACGCACCAAGAATCATCAATATCTTTGGAAGGAGTTGATTTCGGTAATATTTGTTGTGCGCATCGTGTTTTACGTGAAATTTTGGTGAAGAAATATGTATCAGAATGCAGAAATTCGTACCTTGTCTAGTGGTTCATTAAGATGAATTTTCCTGTTCTAGCTGTATCCGTGATTTCATCTAAAAGAGATTAGACGAATTTTGAAGGAAACTCGATTTCGAAATTTTGACACTTACTGCCCTCTTCGCTATCATGGCGGTGTTGTTTGGCGACTGTTTGACGGCCTTATTTGATGACTTAGACCAATTACAGCACTTAACCTTGACATATTGACGCCATGGTTTGAGCGTGTGACATTAGCTGTTATATTTCACGTTGGTTTGCCTGAGATTTGATGAGGAAACATGTGTGGTAATACTTATAGTGGTCCATTCCGAGAATGAACAGTTTGGCAACCCTGTTCAGCCTTTGAATTAACGCATGGAGAGGATAGAGGTGTCGGTAACGGAAGTAAGCTCTCATTCGCCGGAAGTGGGATGAGCTTGCAACCCTCTGGCAAATCCGGCTCCGAAGGTGTATCTATTCAATATGCAGGAATTAAATTGTTTCGCGGAACCTAGATTAATCTTGAATTATTCAACCCATTTTTTTCAAGAACTCGCGTTGATGTCGCAGGCTTTCGGAGAAGCATCATAATACCATCTGATAAACATAATATGCTCCATGAAAATTAGGACGGTGTTCGCAATTCATACAGTATGGCATGAGAATGGAGATGTTGCACGTGTGAGGAATTTCCGATTTTACCATTGATTCTTATGTAAAAGTTTGCGAGAAACACGATGGTGCCACTGGTTATCTCTGAAATCAATTCCCAAGCTCAAAAAAAGCTCTCAAGTTGGGGCCAAAATGGAGGGGATATCCTACGCTACCCTGAGAGTCCACCTCTACATCAAGACGAACTCTCCATGCAAAGATGGGAAGCAAATACATTAGCAGGGTTGCCATGTTTTCAGTTTTAGAGTCCCCAAGTAAAGTGGCAGCCCTGTCAATGTATTTACTCCCTATCTTTGCATGGAGAGTTTGAATTGATGTAGAGGTGGATTCTCAGGATAGCGTGGTATATCCCCTCCATTTTGGCCTCAACTTGAGAGCTTTCTTTGAGCTTGGGAGTTGATTTCAGAGAAAACCAGTGGCACCATCGTGTTTCTCGCGAACTTTTACATAAGAATCAACAGTCAAATCGCAAATTCCTCACACATGTAACATCTCCATTTGTGGGGTTGCGCCGTAAAAAATTTCCGGGTTGATCCTGGAATCATTCGCATGAAAAGGAACTACCAAATCTTACTCATTATTAAAAAGCACATATTTGAACAGGGGAGCTATTTGGCTTTAACGTTGTTTCTGAAATATAAGTAGGACGGATTCCAATAAATTGCATTGCTAAATGATGTAAAATTATTGGCACGGCATCGAAGTGCCGTGTATGTTGCCTACATACCAATTGAAGGGACACTTTTACACATTGACGAGGTGCTACGGTGAACGCTCTCCGACGTCTTAACGTTGGAACCGTCGTCTTGTTTTCTTCTCCGTGCGAAGAAAACTCTGTGAACATTTCAAGAGATGATATTAATTTGTTCGCCTCCAAAAAAATAAAACAGGAGCGGAGATTTTTAAACACCGCAAACGAGATACGTGGTTTGGTGGTTTCACCGTCGACGTGTTTCGCGGCTTGTGAGTATGGCCGGTACACACCCGAATCCCAAATCATCCCAAATCTTCGCAAAACTACAAATCTCACGCTCCATTTTCATGCATTTTTTTTCCAGAAAATCCAAATTCTCCGGACCTAGTTTTAAAGCCGAAGACGACGATCCTGTCCCTGGAATACCACCCGAAAGACCCGCATTGTTTAGTGAGCGGGTTTTGCAGTGGCCAAGTGGGTGCGTGGGACACTCGAAAGGGATCGGAGCCGTGCGAGTTGAGCAACATGACCAACAGTCACAGGGATCCCGTCCTCAAAGTCCTCTGGATCAACTCCAAATCTGGCACCGAATTTTTCTCGGCCTCCACGGACGGGCAGGTGAGACTTGAATCAGTGAGAAGGAAAACGCACCAACTCGGAAAAATAAAAGTAATCAAGACACACACCAAACTGCACAGTAGGTGAAGAAATTGGTCTAAGAAAAATATTTTTGGTGCCGAAAGACAAGCCCTTAAGGACGTTTTAAAGGTGCAAGTTGGAACAGATGCGCTAACTTCAATGACCTTTATAGAAATGGGCCGTTTTTAATGAAAATTGAGCATTTTCGAGGTACCGAGTTGGTGTGTTTTCGATCTCACTAATGCACTTATGGATTATTCCTGATTCCACTCATCTGTGGATCTATTGTTCGCATCGCATCATTATGTTTCGTTAGCCGCAGCTCGAGAATTATCGAAAAATAATAATTATATTTGCATTCATTCTATATTAAATGAACCACGTGAAGCAGAAAGGAACCAAGCCACATCAGTCTATTGTCAAATTTAATTGGGCAATTAAAATTTTAACATGAAAACAGCTGTGCGGATATTTGTGCAAATTTCAGTGAATTTTCTGCATACTGCGAAGCAAAGTCCTTGAAATTTTCAAAAGATTTCGCAAAAACGTTCTCTCGTAAAAACAAAATTTCCCAGTCAAATTTGGCAATAGCTGATGGGGCTTGGTTCTTTTCTGCTTAACGCAGTACAAATGTGACTATCAGGATAGTCTAGAAAAACTATAAAAATTGGGTCATTTATGCCTTAAAGCTTACAGAATTGATTCGCGAGAATTTTGGGAACATGACCGCCTAAAAATTTTAAACCAAAGGTTAAAGGGTTTGAAGGGTACAGTCAAAAACCTATTTCCTCAGAAACGCTACTTTCTACCGATGGTAAAGCTGCAGCAATGCGTATCTCGGTTTGCAGCGCACAGAGGATTGAGTCAATCAGAGAGATCGGACATGAAATTTTTTACTAAAACTGCAAATTGTTACGTTTCGTTCGTCTCATTTTAAATTTTGAGAGGTGTTTCTACGAGAAAATTTGACTAGGAAACCAATGGAGCCATTTTTAATTTCTTAAAAATTTGATTTAACGGAGTTATAAGCTTTTAAGGTTTCCAAATTTTGCTCCATCTCTCCCAGTGACTCGATCCACCGTGCGGCGTTGCAGACCTCCTGTCATATTTCATTTTCAACGTGGGAAACTACCAAACGTCACCGTTTAGTGCGGTACAAAAAAAAATCCTTGAAAATTTTTTGTCCTTGGGGATTTTTGTTTTCTGTCTGATGAATCAACGTGAACGTGAACGTGTGAACGTTTCAAGTCTTAAAATTGGTTGTGTCTCGTTTTAAAAAATTACATATGAGCGGAGATTTTGAAATACTGCTACCAAGAAACGTATTTTTGCAGTTTCATCGTCAATACTCTGATGTCATTGTCTTTTGAGCCAGATCAAAATTTTGCAACGGCTGTGCAACAGTGAAATCGGTCTTTGATTTTATAACCGGTAATTGCTTGTCTGATCCGCAGATGAAATGGTGGGACACGCGAAAACTTGATGCACCGTTGGAGACGTTACTGATTGACTTGACAAAAGGCGACGAACAACTTCTGAGCCGGAGTTTAGGTATATCTGCTCTCGAGTACGATGCTTCCATTCCAATCCGCTTCATGGTAAGTCCAACCCTCTGTACCTCACATTATAACGGACCCAATTAGTGCTACATTCATTTTGAGGAAAAAAGGATTAAACCCTCTATGACATGGTGTTTCTTATTCAAAACAAAACTCATTTTTTGGTTTTTCAAAAATTGAACTTTTCTCTGAGGCATGATCATGCAAATTTTTAACGATTTTTTTCTGTATTTGAAAAATGATTACAAAAATGTCGATATTCGTAGAAAATATTTGGAGATCTTATGCTTTTACGATAGCTACAGCATGGATTTGTGACCCCTAGATCCCAAGACTCAAAATTAATTAAGGACATAGAGGGGAGGGGTAAGTTTTAATTCTCCATGCAAGGTAAAGGCGAATACACCGGATTCAGCCCTGGATCGATTTTTTTAGTGTATTTCCCGAAGGAAATACACTATTGCGTTTTTTCACTTCAAATATCTCTGATGGGATAAAGGCACATCTCCTATAGGTCCCTAATCAGACCAGCCCCAGGTTGGTTGTTTGAGACCGTCAAACTCGGGAAACCTGACCGGAAATCGAACACGGGACTTCCCGATCAAGCAAACGCTACAATCACTGCACCACAGGCGGCTAACGATTTTTGAACAGTTTGCGATGATTTCTTTCTGTTAAACTCAGTCCAAGTACTTAATCCTTCCGGAAAATTTCTTTCCTTTTAATTACTATAATAAAAATAATCATCACGAAATTCAATACATGTTGCAGATAGGAACAGAGACAGGCATAGTGATAAGCGGGAACAGAAAAGGCAAAACAACGTTGGAGAAGCTGACGGCGCAGTTCAAAGCGCATCAAGGTCCTGTGTATGCTCTCCACAGAAATCCATCCTTCGTTAAAAATTTCTTGTCGGTCGGTGATTGGACCGCCAAAATCTGGACAGAGGACTGCCGCGAGTCCGCAATCATATGGACCAGGTATCTCTCAGTGCGATGTATCGATTGATCCATCATTTAAACCTATGTAAAAGAGGCGATAAAGGATCGATAGGTATCTCTCAGTGCGATATATCAATTGATCCATCATTTAAACCTATGTAAAAGGATCGATAGGTATCTCTCAGTGCGATATATCGATTGATCCATCATTTAAACCTATGTAAAAGAGGCGATAAAGGATCGATAGGTATCTCTCAGTGCGATATATCGATTGATCCATCATTTAAACCTATGTAAAAGGATCGATAGGTATCTCTCACTGCGATATATCGATTGATCCATCATTTAAACCTATGGAAAAGGATCGATAAACAGGGTATTTGCAATAAACACCGTAATACTTGATTCTTTGCCATTGCTCGATCGGAGAATGTATCGCGATTTTATCAACGTCGATTCATTGCAACATTCTCGGAGAAAAAATTGCGATAATTTACGATTTCATCGTATGAGTTCGCAACAAAATCGCGATTTTATCGGCCAGTGTTCGAAACTCACCTTTGAGTTTGAGGAGCCATGTGGCGCATCAAGCCCGATTTTTAGGCGCCATTGAAGATTTTTTAGGGGTCAAATTCACTTTTTGCCTATATATGACGGCGCATTTAGTGGAAAGTTAGACGCAAGATGTTTTTGTGACATAACTGGTAAGTACCTGTACCTTGGGAAATACAAAAGCACTAAGAATGAAATCGTGAAGAATAGGAAAAGCAAGCTTTCACGTGTAGTGCTGAAAATTCCGAGCTTCCTCAATTCAAATAGAGTTGTCTTTCTTTCTTTGTGTGACTTCCTGTGAAAATCCAGATTTGTAGGGGGAAATTTTTAGGCGCCACGTTGGCGCTGAGCTTTCATTTTTTAGGCGCCATGGCCGATTTCTTAGGCGCATTTGGCGCGTTGGCGCCTGTGAGTTTCGAACACTGTTGTCGACGGCGTTTTATCGATACAGGTATATTTGAACAAAAAATCGTGATAAAGTGAGATAAAATTTTGATTTTATCCAACGCAATTTAATAGAGATGAATTCGCCCCAGAATCGAAGATAATTGCACAGATCCCATGATGATCCTGGAGAAATATCGCCAAAAAATCGTAAACTTTATTTAAAAAAATCGCGTTTTTTAGTTGAAAAATGCTACTTGGGAAATGCAAATTTGTGGTCTCGCACTTCGGCCATCGATATGAACATCATAGTCATGAGATTGTAGAATACAATTTTAGCACCTTTATTCGATGAATTAAGTATTGATGAATGATGAAATGGTAGTAAGTTCTCCTCGACCAGTAACCTATAATTTTCGTACTACGGAATTTTGACCAAATGTTTGTATATCTGTCGCAGCAATTATCGTCACTTGCTCACGAATGGAGCGTGGAGTCCGACCAAATATTCTGTCTTTTACACCACGAGTATGGACGGTTCACTGGATGCCTGGGATATTCTCAACCAACAGAGGGAGCCTAGTCTTAGTGTTAAGGTAGCACTTAACTATACGTGACCGAAATCGCTCCCTTTTCGTGTATTTGCCTATAGTTTCAAAAGATTGGGCCTTCATTTGGACGTATTTCTACCAGACAGACCTATGTGCAGGTGAGAAATATGGGGTGTGCTCTAGAGAGCTGCATAGGAAACAATGTAAAAGAGGGCGTGATTCCTTTTGAAGAATTGGAAAAGCGGGATTTTACATTCTATCAAACAGACCTATGTACTAACTGAATGCGGAACTCATGAGCCGCGGGCATGGCAAGAGAGCGTTGTGGACAGGGCTCATGAGTTAAAGCGCACCGTCGACGAGCTCGTCGTCGTAACGCGTATCGCTCGTTGCCGCTGACGTCACTGGCGCTTTATTATTCTCATTCACTCTTAAGCAAAGAGAACGAACGAGCACACCCCATATTTCTCACCTCCACATAGGTCTGTTTGGTAGAAATACGTCCATTTATTCAAACAACAAACTGCATTTTAAGTTATGCCAAACTTTCTCTCGTGCTCCAATTTTTAAACTGAAAATTAAGCAACATACTGCCTTGAAACTTTCCTGAATTTCATCGCTTAAATGTTCAAGTGCCCCCTCCACCCCTTCTGTGGATGCTTTTTTTAAGAGTTTTGTCACCTATCAAACATGGCTGAACTATCAATCTAAAACAAATACTGAATGAGCATGCTTATTATCCAACAATTTTTTGGGTGAATTTTTAATGTTCCAGAAATTTTGTGAATTTTTCAGAAAATTTAGCTCGCAATTAAGTCCAGCCTTCTTAAAAATCCCACGGGAAACGTTTCATTTTTCATTCAAACAAAACACTCGAATGTTTATAGGGCGTACCTATTCCTTAAGCTGATTGTTGAAATTGATAGACAAAGCGATAGACAAAGAAGACATAGGGATATGGAGCGATCCTATTGGTTGAAATGGGTGGTTCTTAAGAGGGTAAATGTTGGACTAACTAAAGGGTCTCTCGTGGGTTGCCATTAATTAATCTATTACCTACCTCATTTGTCCATTGCAACCACCCGCTTCCACCATAATAAGATCCCTCTACATCCCTTTTGTCTAAATTGTGCATCGGTTTGTCTATTAATTTCGACAATCAGCGGGCTGATTGTTGAAATTGGTAGACAAAGCTATAGACAAAGAATACACAAAGGATATGGAGGGATCCTATTGGTGGAAGCGGGCGGTTGCAATAGACAAAGGAGCTAGTGAATAAACTAACTAACAGCAACCCACTAGAGACTCTGTAGTTAGTCCACCATTTACCCCCTTAGTCTATAAGAACCGCATATTTCAACCAATAGGATCCCTCCATATTCCCTATGTCTTCCTTGTCTATCGCTTTGTCTATCAATTTCAATAACCAGCCCATTGGGTAAAAGGAGGAGAGCTGAAATCTTGCAAAGTCACAATCACAGGAACGCAGCAATATGGGCTTTCAAATTGGACGTATTTCTATCAAACGGAACTATGTGCATTAAGACATGAGCCCTGAGACCCATAAGAATGCATGCGTAATAGGGCTCACGTCATAATGCACATAGTTTCGTTTGTCAGAAATGCGTCCAATTGAATAGCTGAAGCGTGAGTAGGATCGGCTGAAAACATCGGAAACAGGGATTAAAACGCGGAGGCATGGGACCCGCGTAGCCTCCGAAAGGGCTATTGTCCTGGCCGTTGGCTTTTCGTGCGCACCGGTGCAAATGCAATTTCGGAACGCTTGATTACTGCCGCGCCGAGAAAAAACGCCGAACAAGCCTTCAGGAGTTGCCAAATTTTCATTTACAAATCGCGAGTTGTCGGAAAAATTTATGAATATTTCTCTTCCGCTTTCTCGGAGGATTTCTTTCGAAATTCGATCTAAAAAGTCTGAAAATTTCAAGGCAAATTATTCAGGACTTTCCTCAAAAATAAATCTTTTCTGATGGGAAATCTGGCAAAACATGAATGCTCATACCGCGTTTTTCCTTATCACGGCAGATTAGCGCCGTGGTTTGGTGAAGGTTCCGAGAATCTAATAATTCTGATTGTTATCAGCGCCCATTCCTGGGGAACGGAATACTGCAACACTGAAGAAAAACGCCGCACATAAATTTGAACGTTGCCAAATTTCCATGGAAATTTTCCGGAAAACTTGCGAACGCGTTCCTTACAATTTATCAGAAAATGGGCTTGTTGCAAACGTTTGCTAATGCAAAACTTCGGGTTGTTTCTAATGGAAAATGTCTAAAAAATTGTGATATTGAAAAAAAGATAAAAAAGATATAGAAGAATTTATCCAGCGAAGTCTGAATTGTATTCTTAACTTTACAATCTGCATTAAAAATTTGCGTTTTTATTAAGCTTCTCGCTTCAAAAACAATATTACCGCACAGGTGAGCATTTCGTAAGAGGAGTCGCTCCATCAGGAGTGCATTATAGACTTTGTTTATGCGCTCATCAAGATTTTTGAGACATTTACCATTGGAAGCAACCCTTATTTTCGCTTTGGCAAAAGTTTGGAACATGCCCATTATGTTTGCGATTTGATAAAAAAATATTTAAAGATATTTTGTAACTTTCCTGAAAAATGAATATTATTACGAAGGTAATTTGACAATATCGAATGGTTATACGGCATTTTCCTCTGATAAGGTGGCATTGGGCTTTGTCATGGAGTCTTTATTCGAGCTTTTGATAATGGGTTGGGAGACTGGCGTGAATTTAAACACAATGTTTTATGATTTTGCCCTAAAATTATGATTGAGCACCGATTAGAGGCGACTCTTGCCAGTTGGTAACACTGCATTTCCTCCGTTTAGATCTATGGTAAGATAACCCTGGTAAAAATTGGCAGTAGAATCTGTGTTCCAAAATATCATAGACCTAAAGCCGGCTGTAAGATTGCCAATAGCTTCTGTAGCCGGCTGTACAATTTCTCATAGCCTTTTATAGCCGATGGCGATTAAGCAACAGCCAGACGATAAAGTTTATACCAAACGTTACTAAATACCCTGGTAAAAATGGCAAGTGTTAGGTCAGTGAATTTTCCACTGAGGTCAGTGCAATTTGCTCTGAGGTCAGTTCAGTTTTCTCTGACGTAGGTAAGTGTTAAAGCACTTACCCAAGAAGTCAGCACTGAGGTAAGAGGCACTGACGTCGGGAGAAAGACTTACCTAAGTGCAGAGATGTCTCTGAGGTAAGCGGGACTGAGGTTAGGACTTGGTTCAGAGGGTAAGTCTCTGACATCAATCTTAATCGAACCGCACTCACTCCCAAAAAGTAGAGATGGCTCCCCCTTCCCCCACCCTATTTCATTTTCGTGGGGGAATATTTCTTCGGGACACGGGGACCACAAACTTTATCTTTCAGAGAGGCATATTTTGTAGAAGGTGGGATTTTCTAAGAGGGAAGGAAAACTAGTTTAAGTAGCCACACTCTTGAATAATTTGTTTTACCCTCTTCGTTTAAGATGGCACTTAAATAATTAAAACACAACAAAAAATGAGATCGATAAAAATATTATCACCGCTAAAATATGTATTTAGATATATTTATTTAAGCATTATTATTTTTTT